TTATTGGTTAATGAATAAAACACCATTCAGCCAATGAGGCAGGAAGATAAGCTGGACAAGGAGACAAGGAGAATTCTGGGAAAGGTAGGCAGAGGGAGCCTGCCGAGGAGTTGCCATGCTGCCGACGGAGTAACAACATGCTGGGGCATTACTGGGTAAGCCATAGCCTTGTGGCAATACATAGATTGATAGAAATGGGTTAATAATTAAGACAGAGCTAGCCAGTAAGAAGACCAGGTCATCAGCCAACAGATTTATAATTAATATAGCCTCTGTGTGTTTATTTTGGACAAACTGCTGAGGAACCAGGCTGGAAAAGGAAATCTGGCAACAGTGGTAGCTGACCCATCAGTCAGTCAGCATGTGTTTACTGAGCAACTGCTAGTTGCTCTGCACTTACTAATTGTTCTAATAAAGAACACTGTGAAAATAAAAAGGCATATCCAATCCAACTTTGCCCCCAGTAAAAGAGATACAAACAAGTGTAATAGTGTGCAACACATAGCTAAATGTCCCTAAGACAAGAGACGACCAGTGTCATTTAAATAGGGTAAGGACACTCTAACTTGTACTGCATAACAACATTCTAACTTAGACTATTCTAATCTAATTTATCCTGGGTATGGACAATCTAACTTAGACTAGGTAAGGCTGGGCACAATTTCCTAAGAATGTGGTGCTAAGATGAGCTTTGGAGGTGAGGTGTGTGGCATTAATGACCATGGATTATATTTAACATACTCAGATCCACTGAGTAATTGACAATATATGACAGTTTCTTTTTTCATCATGCAAATTGGCTAGAATTAGTTTAAGTCAATCACTTTAAGTTAATTGTGAGCAGTGCAAGGTAGTCACCATTACCCTGGAGAAGCAGCAGGGACAGATGTTGCACCTGGGATAGATGTTTGGAGGAGTAGTAGGTCAAACCATCAACAATTTGGTAACTAATGGCAAGACAAACAGAGAGGATGATAGAATCACCTTCAGGGGAGACCAAGAGACCACATACACACCTGTACTGTAACTGGCGGCAGATGGCAGCAGGAAGAGCAGAAGACAAAGGCAAAGGGAGAAACCACTTGGTACAGCTGTGGAATCGTGCTTACCTACTGAACTCCTGTGGCTTCTTTGGAGTTTTTCCCTATACACTCTTGGACTATACACTTCGGGACCTGCTGGTGCAGGCTCCACAAGCCAAGCTTCCTGACAATCAGCAGGCAAGGAAGGCACCCCAGGAGACACTAGACTGTATAAAATGCCATGCACAGGTGAACACCCCTTCTGGGTCACTGACCACTTCTGCAGCATCTTTTCTAGCCAGACCTTCACCCCATCACCCCATGCTGTGAGGACATAATGGCAAGAACAAATAATGTAGCAGACACGGGCAACTAGGGTTCATGAAGCAGAACCAAGTAAAACCCATTAGCAGCTCCATTTGGTGTGCACGCATGTGGGTTGTGAAGTGAGAGGGAATTCATGCATAAACAAAGAGACAGGTGTTATCGTCATCAGAAGTGGACCTCTCAGCAGGAAGTCACCACCGTGTCTGTTGCTAGGGAGAGCAACTGAGGCCACCAATCTGTTCGTGTCTTCATACATGATTTAGTTAACGTACACTGTACATGTCCTCTTTGCCAGGCACAGTTTCTGAACAACAGGCGTACACAGGGGAAAAGAAGCCCACCTCCATATTTGATCAGTGATGCCAGAGAGATTCTTGGGCACCTGGGTAGGTGAGCATGTCTAAAAAATGAGAATTCCCAAATGAAGTGAGAAGTATGTGTGGGCATGGGAGACAAAGAGGGGACCACAATGGGAGGCAAAGAGGGGAGCACAAGGAGTACAGAGGTATGAAGTGCCATAGAGATCCAGGGGAGGCATGCACAGCCATGTTCACTGTAGTTAGGATAAACAAGAGATGGAAACAACATTAAATGCCCATCAATTTGTAAATGGACAATAAGAACATGGAACCTGCACACAGCAGAATAGTATTTAACCATACAAAATGAATTTTGATCAATCCCAGCAACATGGATGGAACTAGAGGTCATATGTTAGGTGAAATAAGCCAGGCACAGAGAGACAGATCAACCACGATGTCACACATTTATGTAATGTGAAAAAATTCATCTTAGAAGAGTTGGATGGACATAGGTAGACAAAGGGAGAGAAGATTTGGACAAACATAAGTAGACAAAGGGGGAGAAGAGTTGGACAGACATAGGTAGAAAAAGGGGGAGAAGAGTTGGACAGACATAGGTAGAAAAAGAGAGAAAAAGAAAAAAAGTTGCTGGGTCTCTGAAATGGAGGCTTCTTGTTCCCAGACAATATTGTAAGAAAATCATAGTAAGGAAGGGAAATAGGACCAAGAGGAACCCAAGTCAGCTTCCAGTCAGCAGACTCCTGGCCTTAGGGCCCCTCCCATCCCAAAGGAATAAAGCTCTCACTTTCCCCCCTCTCTGAGGCTTGCTCTGCTGTCTTCCCTCAGCATTTAATTCTTTGTCTGTGCCAGAAAAGGAGCTTGGCAATCTCCTAGATAATCAATAGCACCCCTATTACAGTTACTAGGGGCTCTCCTCTGGAGTTTGAGATACTCTCTACTCAAGGTCATACATTGGACTGAAAATCACAGAGAAAGATTCAGATGTGGCATTCTGGGGTCTATATCTGATCAAGGAAACAATTCACCCACAGCTAGCAGGGCCAGAACTCCACCAGGAGATGGGAGAGTAGCAAGTGGAGATTTGAAGGAGTAAGATGCTTTGACATTTATGACTGTATAGAGACTTCTCACTTGAGAACTAGTGCAAAGGCTCTGCTGTCATTCTGAAGCCAAGAGGCAAGGCAAACCGGACCTCATGGAGCCAACCCCCAAAGAACTGTTAATTGATTCAGCTGCACAGAGTGGGAGAGGACAGATTTCTAATTCACACACCTGGGAGAAGTCCCTGGGAAGGTCTGCCTCTGCTGTGCTCATTAGCTTCCTCACTCCACACCTGACTTCTGAGCTGTGTATGGTTAAGTGTAAGAACCTAGGGGTAGGCAATCTTGATAACAAAAACCATACTCAGCATTCTCTACATTGCCTGGGCAATTCTAGCATGCAAGAGAAACCCGAAGTCCTCTTGATACCAAGCTTGCTTTTGAGTTTGAGGTAGGAACTGCCTGAAATTGAAATGGAGGCAGCAATGAGCAAACTGTAGTAGAGACAGTTTGTCTCCATGTGGAAAAGCCTTGTTGGGTGCTACCCACCCCCATCCCAGGGGCTTTAGTTATTTGTCTGTAACCCACATAGCTATTGCTTGGGTGGCAGAAACAGGGTCTCTCTTAGCTGGACTCTGCAGTGGATGACAGCTCTGACATTACAGATGTCACCTTCACCCACATGCACCATTATGTCTCTACTATGTGTTCAAAGCTCGCTGCTGGACTTGCAAAAGACACTTGGCTCAGGAGTCCCCATGTTGATTGAAACTGGGAAAAAATGAAATGGTGTGGCAGGAGGGCTGGCTGTGGGGATATGGGTAGAGCTCAACAGTAGAAGGCTTGCCTACATAGGCACTAGCCATGGGTTCCATCTCAGCACTGTGAGTCAGTCAGTGGAGAAGTAGAGGACAGTTGCTTCAGCCATAGTTTTCCAGGTGTCAGTAACAGCTAAAGGTACAGTTGGATCAGCTTGTTTGTGGGGGAGGCTGGAGATGAGTGCTCCAACTGGGTCTCAATGCCAGCATCTCCAAGTCTATTTTTTTTTGTTTTATTTCCCTTTGCTGTCTGTTTCTGTTTCTGCCCCATAGTGCCCTGAACACCTGATGGAAAAGAGTACTCCATATTCTCTAGATATGTATATCCTTTAGATTACAAATTTGGAGAAAAAAAAAAAAAACACCAACAGGGATTTTTACTCCAGAGATTTTTTTGAATGATGGATCTTACAAAGACAAAATAAGATTAGAAATTCATTAAGGTCACTGAGTTATACAGAGCAAAATATTCTGTACAGGCTCCTTCTTCCTTCATGGTCACTGGTGAGGAAGGGGAGGGTGGAGGGACCCATCTCCCTCTCGGTAAAATCTCCAGGAGACTCTCAGGAGAAGGAGATAGAATCCTGGAAGATGTTCCAATACATCCTCTTTTGTCCACAGAAGGGTTAATCAGCAGCAGAGGCTCCCTCCTCTTCACTGTTCCTTATCCGTGGGATCTCCAGCCCACGGGCTTTAAGAAAACAATACATGGACTGTGTCTGCCCATGAAACTGGCCTAAATAAAAACTGGAGGATAAAACAAAACAAAAACAAACAAAAATCCTCTGTGTTCTAACTAAAATCATCTGAGGATTTCATGTTTAAGATATTTGATCTTAAATTTTGATAAACAATCTTCATGAAATTTAATTCATTTTCTTGTGGTACTTAAGGTTTCATTAGATGTAGTGCTATCTACAGAAAAGTGAAAGTGAAAGAAAATACAGTGTGAAATGGATACCAAATAAACACAAGCTAAACAGAGGCTAAAACATTAATGGCAGTTGATATAAACTTAAAAACAAAATAAAAAATATTGCAGATTACTAAATTTGAGACCATATGACGAAGCTACAACAACCACAATCCTTTATATTTACTTTTGACAATCAAAACCACCAATTGGTTAAGTACATAAAGCAAAAACTCTGAGGACTTAAGAACTTTCAAAAAGTTATAATAGGCAACACTATTTCACAGGAGTAATCATTAAAAATCAGTCAACTGAACAGGTAAAATTCAAGTGAAATCAGAGGTGAAGGATGTTACGCATTCAATAAGTGTCTATAAAACATGTCTTTTAGCCGGGCATTGGTGGTGCACACCTTTAATCCCAGCACTCGGGAGGCAGAGGCAGGCGGATCTCTGTGAGTTCGAGGCCAGCAGGGTCTCCAGAGCGAGTGCCAGGATAGACTCCAAAGCTACATAGAGAAACCCTATCTCGAGCAGGGTCTCCAGAGCGAGTGCCAGGATAGGCTCCAAAGCTACATAGAGAAACCCTATCTCGAAAAAAAACAAAACAAACAAACAAACAAACAAACAAACAAAAAACATGTCTTTTGAGTGGAGAGTGACAACTACTATGTAATTGCAATAACAGTCATGATGACAACTAATAATTAACATGGAAGGACTTTATGTTTTTGTTTCCTTTTTAAGATAGTATTATTCTTAGCTGGTCTGGAATTTACAGTGATACTCCTGTCTTAGCCTCTTGAGTTCTGGAATTACAGGTGAGACCCCCTAAGCCTATCTTTCCATTTTGTTTTTTTTAAAAATTTGATTTTATGTACTTTATATTTTCAAATATAATAAAGATAGAAATAAATAACACAGAGGTAACCAAGGCAGATACTTAGAAATAAAACTGTTTAACAGAAAAACCATACTCCTGATTTGCTGTTGTATGAAGGGAAGTCAAATGAAATGATTACTTCTCTATAGAAGACTATGTGGGAATTCCTTCATATGACAGCTTCCCACGTGGAACATGTGTATAGGATACACGATCTTTAGTGGAAAGCATACAAGGTCTTTAGTATCAAAATGCACCATGCAGGACTATAGAGACAGTTCAGTAATTAATAGTACACACTACTCTTGCAGGGGACCTGAGTTTGGACCCCAACACCCACATCAGGCAACTCATTACATCTGTAACCCCAGCTACAGAAGATCTGACACTCTTTTGGCCCTTCTAGGAACTGCAATCATGTGCACAACACCTCCTATAATATAAAGATATATTTATATATAAATAAAAACAAAATCTAAAAAAACTTTCAACATTAAAAAAAAGAGAAACTAGACAATAGAAAAGCCATTAAAAACCATCAGTGACTAATAAAACAGGAAATGGAAAACTGAATAAGAAACTAATTTAAAAGTTAAATTTCATGGATCATTGTAAGTTCTCCAAACATGATTAAAGGAAACACAGTGAGCAAAAATATATAACAAAAAGAAGATGTAATTGTAAACACAGGAGATTAAGATCATTAGGGGAAAATAAAATTTGGGGACTGGCAGATAGCTCAGTGGTCAAAGCATTTGGCATTCAGCTCCTGAAAAAACTATGCAAATTTTGGGTTGTCCAGGAAGCCTACCTACAATTCCAGTACCAGGAAGTGTGACATAGGTGTACAGGGTCTAACTAGATGAACCATGGAGTGGGCTCTGGATGTGATTGAGAGACCCTGCCTCAGTGGATAATGTAGAACACAGAGGATAATTCCTGACATCAGCTTCAGGCCTCCAAGCACACACACACACACACACACACACACACACACACACACACACGCATATACATAAGAAAATAGAAAAAGAAAAAAATCATTTGAAAATGTAGATAAAGCAGGACTTTCCAGTAAGTCACTAAAGTTGATCTCAAAAGAAAACAAGAACGCTCATAAATGAATTATCAGGGAAGCCACCGAATCAGTAACAATGAGTTACTCAGATGAGATAACCCTGAGAAGCAGAAGCACAGGTGAAATTTTATAAAAACCAAAAAAAAAAAAAAAAGGTTGGAATAAATCTGTTTGTCATCTAGAGCCTAAGACTGTGGGTAAGAACTCACACTTTGTGGTTTTATGAAGTCAGGATAACTTGAGTACCTGCCATGACTGAGTATGGCTGAAACCCCTCTGAGGGCAGCAGAGCAGAGAGGACTCTGCAAGCCAGGCTTACTGGAGATGATGGCTTTAAAGACTGTAAGCTAAGTGTGAGGAAAGAAATCACACTGAATTTCTCCCTCTATCACTAACTTTTATTGTTGCTATGATAAAATACCTGACAAAGGCAAGCTGAGGGGGGAAGAGCTGATTGTGGCTCACAGTTCCAGGGTGTATCACACCTTGGTGTGGAAGATTTGGTGCAGGAGTGTTTCATGTTTCATCAGAGAGTGGTAAGTACTCAGCTCAATTTCTGCTTCTCATTCAGTCTGGGAACAAAATGCCTGGAATGATGACAACGACATTTAAAATGGGTCTTCCCATCTCAATAAATCTCATCTAGAAAATTCTTCAGACATGACAACAGATTTGTTTCTTTGGTGGCTATAACTTCCATCAAATTGACAATCATGATGGACCATCACATCCCAACAGGACCCTCCAAACTCCCTTTGAGATTGAGGTGCAAGTGGAGTTCTCTGGTGAGTTGCATACCTTTGTTTCTGAGCACATCTAAAATCCTCTGTTCCTTCTCCAGGAAGATCATCCTGATTCTAGAGGCCTCTGTGTTTTGATGGCTGGCCTCTCCCTGTGCAGGGTCTGTGAATGTCTATGTGGGTATGCAAGCTCCCCATGGCTTCTCTTCATCTATCTGCATTGATTGGTTTCAGTAAGTATCTATTTAATGCACATGAGGGTCTCTCAGTGTGCTGCTATTTTAAGACTATGACTGGAAAAATCTTTGCATCCTGCTTAAAATAAGTTTTGATACTTTTTCTGCTCAGGGAAAGGAATCTTTGGTAATTTAAAATAGTAAATCATTCTCCTTTTTAAAAAACTGTTCCTGCTTTGCCCCCATAGCTGCTATTTTTACCTGCTGGGGGTTTTGTATCAAATCATCAAGTATTATCACCTTCTGCCTCTTTATATTTTTACTCTGTGCCTCAAAATATATCATACACTTGATCTTACATCTCGACAGTGACTAGCCTTTTGGATATTTAATAAAAATACTTTAGTTGAGAAACCAAGTATCTAACTTGGAAAATTGCAACCAGAGCTTGAGTTTTCTTTAGTGGTTCACTCATACTCTCTCTCTCTCTCTCTCTCTCTCTCTCTCTCTCTCTCTCGCTCACACACACACACACACACACACACAAACACTCATTATTTGTCTTCTCTATTTCCTGGCCATGTATTCATCTTGGATAACCTTTTCCTTTCTAGCTTCTAAGTCAATACAGATGGAGTATAATTTTTCTCTGTTGTCTAGTTGGCCATCACATGCCTTCTTAGGAGGATCCAACAACAGCATTCTAAGAGGGTGGTGGTTTCTACTTCCAGGAAACTAAATAGACAGAAATCAGTCTACTTCTAGACACCTGGAGTAGGTTACTTTCCTAAGTTTAAGCTAAAGAGGAGCCAACCCACATCAATATTTTTGAATTCAATAATTGCAAAGAAAATTCTAGTAAGAAGTTTCTTTGAGACATCAGAGGCCCCACAGGTCAAGTGACTCTCCAGGAAGTATTCTGTTTTCTTTTGCTAGCTGTGCATCCTCCAGCTGTCAATTTCCAGGCATTTATTTATTTATTTATTTATTTATTTATTTATTTATTTATTTGGAGATCTTTTTCACTGGACATTCAACTGAACTTGAAGCTCCTCCATCAATTGATTAGCTCAAGGAAAGGCTCACACTGAGATGCCTTCATTGAACATACTGTATCACAATCTCCTCTTCATCAGTATGGCATTGCACCCTGGGGTACATATGACTGCTTTCCATTGGGTGTCTCTGACATGGTTAGATCATGCTGCCAACCATGGTTCTGCAAAGCCCTGTATAAGAACCCTTAGAGACATCAGTTTTGACACATATCTCAGTATTTTCATGTTATTTTGGTTTCCCTCATTATCTTTTGTAGTAATATTCACCCTCATTTAAAGTGATGTGATGTTTCTAACTACTCAGTGATCCAGGTTGAAAACATAATTTTGAAATTAGTATAATTTTGAAGGATAAGTTAGGAATGATATTCAAACCACACACACACACACACACACACACACACACACACACACACACACACACACACACACCATACACATAAAATCTGAGCTACTTCACTGTCAGGGAATAAAATGTACATTCCAGTAGGGTGTGTTGCCACACACTTATAACCCTACTATTTAAGTCCTAAGTCTCAGGAGGCAGAGGCTGAAAGATCTGAAGTTTAAGGCCAACCTCAGCTACATATGGAATCCAGTTTAGGCTAGATGAGAATCTTTTTCAACGAAACAAAATGAAGCTGGGTGGTGATGGTGCACACCTTTAATCCCAGCACTCAGGAGGCAGAGTCATGTGGATCTCTGTGAGTTTGAGGCCAGCCTGGTCTACAGATAAGTTCCAGAACAGCTAGTGCTGTTACACAGAGAAACCCTGTCTCAAAAAATAAATAAAACAAACAACAACAAAAGAAATGAAAAGTTAAAGACCAGCTCATAAACTCATATGCAACTTAACGTGTGATTGAGTAAAATATTGGCAGAAAGTTTTGAGCAAGGTAAAGGTTTCCTTGCATAGTATCCAAGTTCACACAGCATTGGAAAGGCAATACACCTCTTCCATCCAGGAGCAGGGTGAGTCTCCTTTGACTCACCAAGAAGCCACTGAGCTTCTCTTTTGCACAGCATTCCCAGTTCATGATCTCTGTTCATTCTTACTAATGGCACAGAAGTTCTCTGATGACAGAGGAAGTGCCAGATTCCACATAACTTCCTGCCATAAAAATGTTTTGTTTCCTGTACTTTTCTTTGAAAGTCTGGATTTAAGAAGCCTAATAGATGGCTCAGAGGTTAAGAGCACTGGTGCTCTTCAAGAGGTCCTGGGTTGGATTTGCAGCCCCCACATGGCAGCTCACAACCATCTGCAGCTCCAGTTCCAGGGAATCTGATGCCTTCCTCTGGCTTCACAGGTACAGACAAATGAGGTACATAGACATACAGGCAGGTAATGCACCCATACACATAACATATGCTTTTAAGTTAAAAGTTCAGTTTGAATGATGTCAAAAAGCTGACTTACACACTTGCCACAGAGCTTTACAGAACACAAAATTTCAAAATTTTTCTTCTCAAAGTCTGTAAGTTGAATTTTCAAGACACCACACCATGGTTTTTTGCATGTTTGACTCACATCAGACTTTTGAACATCCCGGGTCTCAATGGACATGTTGGAAAGATTCTACTGGAGGGCCAGTCTTGGCTATGGTTCTTCCTTCTCCATTCCATGATGGTAACAAAGTTTTCTCATGTCAACTGCTAAAAGGAAAAGGACAAGATGAGCCACTCTCCTCCTCTTTCGTCTCTTCATTGTCCTCCCTTGTTACATGCCCTGCTTCTACAAGAGTTAAAGCAAGGACAGTAAGGGAAACCTGGGTGAGAGGGAGGAAAAAGGATCCTCCTCATCCATTCCAATGACCCTGACACAGTCCAACCCCAAATCAGGAGTGAGACTTCCTGGTGGTGCAACTTACCAGTGTAGGGGGCTCATCACTGAAACCTGGCCACCCCACTGTGGGAATCTATCCTCAATAAACACAACAGAGATGGGCATGACTTCTGAACAAAGCCTTGGGAGAAGCATTGTGCTAATGGAAAGCAGAAAGGTCCATTCACCAGAGGGGGTCACAGGGTCGTCTAAACGAATGGAGGTGGTTCTGTTGACAAAACGCACCAGTCAAAAAGATTTGAGGATTTCAAAACAGAAAACATAGTTTTAAGTGAAAAAATGAATTCATGAAATATACAAGCAAGAGGGTGCTAACTTTTTATAATCTTCACAGCAGAAGTCCTTTCTGGCTTGTAGCTTAAAATCACTTCCTGTCTATTCCAGTGTTTCTCAATGGCAGGCACTCATCACTTTAGTAGTAAGCTGTGTGGGGTTTGTTTTTATTTTCTTCTTTTGCCTTTTAATTTTTCATATTTTATTTATTTATCTCACTTTCATATTATTAAAAAGCCTTCTGTATAAGTATGTGTGAATCTATTTATGCATCGTGTGTGTGTGTGTGTGTGTGTGTGTGTGTGTGTGTGTGCTTGCATGCGAGTGTGGGTGCTCATGGGGAGGACAATGGATGATATTGAGTGTTGCTCCTTGCTTCCCACATTGTTTGAGACAGGATCTTTATTGTTCCCCATGGCCTTTGTCAAACGAGCTTGCCCAAGAGTTTCCAGGGCTTCTCTGCCTCTGTCTGCCTTCCATCTCACTGTAAGCCTGGAATCACAGGATGTGTCCTCACATGCTCTGGCTTGAATGGGTTTTGTGATCCAAACTCAGGTCCTCATGCATGTAGCAGGAGCTTCACCCCTATGCCATCTCTCCAAGCCTGTTCAGAACAGACCAGAACAGGATTTGTTTCAGCACTTCCATATATACTCTATTTTGTCCTCATTTACAGCGTGGGTGGAGTTCCAGGCTTTGCCACCCTCCTTGATTGTCATTGTAGAGACAGTCACGACAATGTCCACCCCATGATCATTTTCATTCATGAGTTATGGAATGAGAAAATGGTTAAGATTTTTTCAGACTTCTAGAATATGGCAAATGCTCAAAAAATAAAAGTCCAAATAGCAAAGATATGACAAAATTATCCAAATTCTACTCTTTTAACAAGCTGGGTTTTTGTTTGTTTGTTTGTTTGTTTGTTTGTTTTACAGCCCCTATGTACTCTTTGTTAAAAAGAATTTTGTCCTATAGCTCCTCTTCCTTCTAAGGTGCAGCAACGTGAAGCGAGCTAGTAAAATACTAACACGAATGTGACATCAGCATGCTGATGCTGTCCTTCTAACTGAAGAGCTGTTTGTGTTTTATTTAGTTCAGAAAACAAATGTCTTTTAATTAAAATACTGTATTAAAAGCAGCAGGTATCCCACCAACACAACATAACAGCAGCCTGGAACACCATGTTTGTATAGTTGGCATTTCTCAGGTTAGCATGAAAATCATTGCCAGGCCCCAGGAAGTAGGAGAATCCAAATAAAATAAAACTCCAACTACCGTCAATGCTCCCCTTTATGTTTTATTTTAAAACTGATTTATGTCCTATAGTCTGACAGACTTCAGAATGAAGGAAATGCAGCCCCAATCACCTGCCTGCCAAAGCAATGGCTCAGCCAAAGAATGATGGCCTCCAAGAGTGTTAAAATAGCTCATGTGACTGCTGCCTCATGGCACCCAAGCCAGGGCCCTGGGCATTGGGTTGGTAGAAAGGAGAGTGAGAAATGCAGATAAATTAATATGTGTGTATTGAGTTAGAAACACTCTCCTTCGGTTCCTACCGAAGGTACACTAAATTGTATTGAATGGAATGTGAAGGAGGAAGCAACAGCCACAGATTCCTAGGGGTACCTGCAGGACTTCCCTTTCCAATTGTTATAAAAGGGGGCAGGAAAATAGCTAGTGACTGGAAGATGACCCAAATCACAGGCTTTCTGAAGCTGTCTGTGTTTCCAGACCAGACACAAGACCCTCTTAGGATACCTCAACAAAAACTATTCAGTACAGTAAGAAGAGTTGAAGCAAGCCTAACTCATTTATCTTCTTTGAACAGGTTCACCTACTCCATTTGAAAACATAAAAGTGCTACAAAGAATTATAAAAAACTATGTTTGCCGAAGCAAAAAAGAAAACCTATGCCGGCTATTTTATTTTATGCTTTTAAATGTTTTAAAAGATTTTTTGCATTTCAAATTTATTTTTATGTGTGTGCACATGCATATGTATGTGTGTGTGTGTGTGTGTGTGTGTGTGGAGAGAGAGAGAGAGAGAGAGAGAGAGAGAGAGAGAGAGAGCCTCAGGCTGTTGAGAACTACCTGACAGGGGTCCTGAGAAGTGAACCTGGGTCCTCCGCAAGAGCAATCTCTTTATTTAACTGCTGAGTCATCTCTCCAGCCCTGATTTCACATATTTTAGGTTAAACTAATTTCAAATGATGTTTCAAAGATGAGCATAACTTGTGGGTTTCGTGAGAAGCATTGATGTACTTGGAAGGCTTAAATAAGAGTATTCTGTCTCCTTAGACATTTATTGCTTATGGTGGACATTAAAACATTCTTTCTTCTAGCTTTCAGAATACACAGCAGACTCTCATTACCCCTAGGTATCCTGTCTTGCAATGGCAAACCACGGGTCCTAACCTTTCCAAGTCGGTCCCTATCCAAACTTCCCTCACACCCTCTCTTCCCAACCTCTCCTAATACTCACCCCTCCACTCTCCACCTGTTTCACCTCTTTCAGTTCTGCCCATAGGAATGGACTTCTTGCTAGATGACGGAAGTAAAAACTGTAGCACCACCTGTGAGTGTGACCGTGCAGCACCTGTTCTCTTTACATAGCTCATTTCACTTTATACAGTGATCTCCTGTCCAATGCATATTGTTGCAAAGAACAGACTGTCATGAGTCATGGCTGAATGGTATTGTGAATATGTGCCTCATTTTCTTCACCCATTTATCAGCTCTTTGTGACTGGTGTTGTCATACACATGTGAGTTCAGATGATCTGACAGACTAGTTTCATCTTTTGGCAGGGGGAGTGCTATATCCGGATGTCCTCTCCGGTTTCCATAAGGGTCTTACTGTAGAAAGCTCAGGCTCATGGTATCTCCCATCTCTATGCTCCCTGCCTATGCATGTAAAGCCCCTTCCATGGCTAGCACCCCATTCCAGAGCTTGAACTGGCAAACTTCCATCGTCCAGTGCCTGCATTTCACAGTCAGACCCACTGTGGTATTCTACACCGCATGAGTCTGGGCAAATGTATAGTAACATGCATTTGAACTTACAGCACCACACAAAGGATTTTCATTGGCCCTAAAGATATTCTATCTGCCATGCAGCCAGCCCTCCCATGATTAAGCTGCTGGATAACAATAATTATTCACTGTCTCCTAAACTCTACCATTTTCAGATCTGCTATTTGCAATAAATGTTTAGCTCCCTCCAGCAGGTGCCTCTTCCTTACTGATATATATCTAAGTTTCCACCATGTCTCTTCATAGACTGCTGCTCATTTCTTTATAGTGCTGGATGTACCACACTGCCTGGTTTAGCAGAGTCTACCCATTCACCTGCCAGGGATTTGGGCCAGTTTTGAGACAGGCGATTATAAAGGAAGTGTGGGAAGTTCTGTATAGCTTTCCACTGGAACATACATTTTCAACCCATTGAGGTCAATTCCAAGGACCCTTGATAAATAGATCAAATGTGTCCCAGGCCATTTATTCCCCCTCTACTGAATTCTGTAGAGGGGGTGACATTTAAGAACAGAGATAAGTTACACATGGTATGAAAATTCAAGGAAGGAGGCCCACCTATGCCTGGTGGAAGAAGCTTCTTCCTAGATGGCAGAAGGTGGGAAAGTAGCACCAGGCTTTGGTTTTTAATTAGAAAACTATTCCTACTACAATTTGCCACTGCCATGACAACATAGTCCCTACATGGGGGCAGAGTCCCCAGGACCCTGAGCTCTCAGGATCTGATCTTAACAGTCCACCTCCTTGCTGTTGGACTGGAAACCAGCTTTCCACAGGTTCACTATGAGGCATTCAGAGTCAGAAGTATACTGATTGCTGAGTCTTAATTTACATGCCAGATCACCAAATCAATGGGAACCCTTACCAGACTACCAAATCAGCCTCCCATGTGCTGTACCACACTCACCTTCACCACAGTGAACAGAGTCCCTGTTGCCACCTGTCTCAGGAACCCTTCATTGCCATGCCACTTCCCTCAACTCACTCTTTGTGATTGAAGCCTAGTGTCACCCAGTTGTTTTAGTCTGCATTTCCCTGTGACTGTGGTATGGAACAGCTACTCATCGGCTTGTTTTACCCTTGCATGTTTTCACTGGACAATTCTACGTTCAATTTGGGTTGTGTTTCTAACTAGGCTGGTTCCTTCTTGCTGAGCATTGAAAGTTCATTGTCTACTTCAGATTATAGTCCTGCATGAGATGGATCTGCTGCAAATATTTTTACTTAGCCTGTGGCTTCTCTTATTTTTCTATTTATAAATTCTTTTCAAGAATTTCCCTTCTAATGCTTGTATGTCTAGGTTTCACAAAGTAGAATTTTTACCTGGAAAGAGTGTGGGAAAATAGCATTATTTAATGCAAAGAACACTGTTTTATAAGTTGGAAGACGGACATACAGGCTGCCTAATCTTGAATAAACTATTTAACCTCTCTCTTCAGTTTCCATTAATAGAGAAACAACTAATATTTGCTTCTCTGGACAGATGGCCCAGTCAATAAAGCACTTGCCAAACAGACATGAGGACAATGTATATATATAGTATGACAGTATATGTTTGAAATCCCAGCACTGGGGATGACTCTCAGGTCTCTCTAACCAGCTAGCCTTGCCTGCTTCATGAGTTCTAGGTCAGTGAGAGATGCTGTCTCAAAAGATAATGTAGATGGTGTCTGGGGAACAATATCCTGGGTTGTCTTCCGACCTCTACAAGCATGCACACACATACAAGATATATACACCTGCACACACACATACACAGAGAGAGAGAGAGAGAGAGAGAGAGAGAGAGAGAGAGGAGAGAGAGAGAGAGAGGGAGAGAGAGGGCAGAGAGGAGGGAGGGAGGAATGAGATCTGTATTGCCTCTCATTAATTTTATTATGAAGATTAAAACCAGTGTAAGAGAGCAGGACATGATAGCTTATATGTAAACACTTCATATTCCCAGGCTACAGCAGGAGAATTGTCATGGGTTGATGCCAGACTGGGATATATAGTGAGACTCTGTCCTTTAAAAGAATGGGTAAATTTAGTCCATACATGTAAACTTTTAAGGAATTATTATTTCATTAGTTAGCTTTCCCCACGCTTCCCTCCTCACTTCCAGGATAACACATTTCAGTCCACACTAGAGAATTACTTTCTTATGCACCTAAAGTGGAAGGAGGCTCACTGCAGAGTGAGTCAGCCTCTGAATTCACAGGATAGCAGGAAGGAAGCTGCTTCTAAACTCTGTTATTCCTAGAAAAATAGAGCAGAGCAAATGCTCATGCTGTACTCTTCAGAGTGTGAATTATACACCCCACAATATCATTATCGCTTGCATCTGTAGGCAACAGCTACACCTTCAAGTTATATATCTATCAAATTTTCATTTTAATAGTGATGACTCATAATGCGTGGATGTCCTCATACTTCCATTCATTAAACTATACACTTGCCGCCTGCGCATGTAAGCTGCCAAGCTCACATCCCCCTCAACCAGTCTGTAGTCCCCCTCATGTAATATTTGTACACACACACACACACACACACACACACACACACACACACTTGAGAACAAGTTTCCTCCTGCACATTGCAAGAGCAGATGACCAAGTCGCAGAGGCTCTACACATTCTTTTTTTTTTTTAATCATTGTTTTTTTTTATTTTTTTTTATTTGGTTTTTCGAGACAGGGTATCTCTGTGTTGCTTTGGAGCCTATCCTGGCACTCTCTCTGGGGACAAGGCTGGCCTTGAACTCACAGAGATCCGACTGCCTCTGCCTCCTGAGTGCTGGGACTAAAGGTGTGCGCCACCAATGACCGGCTTCATTTTTTTTTTAATTTGAATTAGAAACAAGATTGTTTTACATGACAATCCCAGTTCCCTTCTCCCTCTCTTCCTCCCCTATCACCTCCCCAACTAAAACACTACCTATCACATATCCTTTCTTCTGTGCTTCCCCTGACTCAAGCTTTCTGCTCTTTCATGTCCTCTGCACCCCCCCTCTTCTCCCCTTCTCATTCTCCTAGCTCCCTCCTCCCTCGTCCCTTGCTCTCAATTTGCTCAGGGGATCGTAACCCTTTCCCCTTCTCCAGGGGACCAAGTATGTCTCTCTTAAGGTCTTCCTTGTTTTCTAGTTTCTCTGATTGTGTGGATTGTAGGCTGGTAATCATTTACTCTATGTCTAAAATCCACATAGGAGTGAGTACATATCATGTTTGTCTTTTTGTGACTGGGTTACCTTGCTCCGAATGATTTCTTCTAGTTCCATCCATTTTCCTGCAAATTTCAAGATTTCATTGTTTTTTGTTTTTTTTCCCCCGCTGCTGAGTAGTACTCCATTGTGTAAATGTACCACATTTTCTCTTTCCATTCTTTGGGTTGAGGGGCATCTAGGCTGTTTCCAGTTTCTGGCTATCTGGCTCTACACATTATTACCTTCTGATGTACCACTGCCTTCTGCTGGTCCACACTTCCTCCTCTGGACAGGGAAGCTATGCTGGGAGAGACCAAATGCCTTCTTCACTTCAGCTCTTTTCAGGATGGCAGAACAAACTGTCAACATCTGTGCATAGGTTTCTCTCTTTCTGAAGGAGTGGACTTGAAAGATACCATTTGATCTGGATCTTCAGCATGGGGTGTAACTAAAGAAACAGAGCCAGAAAACAAAACAGAAACAAAAGGGCAGCTGTTCTGTAGGACCCAGAGGGAGAGATGCTCTCCCCTTCTCTGTTCTCTGTGTGGCCCCATTCCTGCACTTTTTTATTTGCCTTGGTTCCTAGAGCTGCCCTGTCGTTCTGCTTAGCTATCCATCTCTCTTCCCGTCTGATTACAGCCAAAGTTTGAGTTTTTTTTGTAATGAACTTTACTTATCCCTGACTGGTCCCATGCCACATCCCTGCCAACTTGCAAGGGCTGCTCTTGTCCATTCATTTCCACATAGGATGCTCAAACAGGATAATGGTCTCAAAATCAAGCCTGTTTACCCCAAACTCTGTGCCCTTTTCCACCACAGTGCTACCTGGAGACATTCCTCCCTCTTCACTTTCTTCTTAGATCTCCTTCCCTTCCCATCCCCTCCCTTCTCTCTTCCCCTCCATTGCCTCTTCCCTTTCTCTTCTGCCTTCCTTCACTCAACCATGCTCTTCCTTCCTCATGACAAAAAAACCATCTTACGTTGACCCTACACTTAGGGGAATGCCACCTCTCAGAGAGATCCAGACAACCCACATCTATACTAAAGCATCTCTAGCATCCATGCCACTCCAGCTTCCCACTGCATGGCAGACTACAACAGAGTAGCTGCTGAGTTATCACAAGTGGGCTGGAGGGAGGAGGTCCAATGGGAGCACCTTTTGGCTGGAATCCTTTTCTGCACTCCTCCCTTCCCTTCTTCTTTTCTTTTCTGTTCTTTCCCTCTGTCCCTTCTCTCCAAACTATGGAGATGTTATTAAAATATAGAAAAAGCCTGGAGTATATAATTTATGACATTACTTTTCCTTCTTTTAAAAAGAGAACATCATAAATATCCTTTTACTGAAATAATCATTCTCCCATTACAAATGGTGGGTGATGTGCTTGCCTATTTAAAATAAACAAACGAAAAAGATTCCATAAAATCCTGAAGAATTCCCTCCCAACAATTTCATTGTGGAATTGTTGTACCTTCTCGTTGGAGTGTGAGCAAGAGTGCCTGGAAAGAAGCTCTGTCCACAAAGACTGAAGGACCAATCAGAGCTTCGGTGATGTGTTGACATTCAAATGTTGCAGGTTCTAATTTAATTATACTTTATCTTGGCCTAGCAACCACCCAAAAGCTAAGAATGCCATCAACTAGCACCCTAGGCAATGGGAGAGATTTCCCCATCTGGCTGTAACTGCCTCTTTGATGTCCTCACCAATGTATTTTTAAAACTCCTTGACTAGTAACTGCTTTTTTTTAACTCTCAAGAAACGGCTTCCATGTGGGAATGTGGACCCTGGGGTAATCTAGCTCCATGTTTTCGGGGGCTTTGGCCATTCTAATTTGGCTCCAGAATAATCTCTTATTCCCTTTGAGACAGAGCTGTGTTTTGAGTCAACAGTTGTGTGAATTGCTCCAATTACCATGAGATTAGACACCAATGCCAGTCTTCAGTTCTTCACTTTACAGCTGTGAATATTCAACTATTCTGGTAAGAAATGTTTTGTCTTTGATGACTAGGTTGATGAGCAAAAGTTTTTTTAAAAATATGTTTCTTTTCTACCTGAAGAAATGAAAATGAGAGGGGGGTGGGGGAGAGAGAGAGAATCTTCTTTCTGTTGTAGCAATTCAATGAACGCAGGATTACCTTTCAAAATTCAAATTTCACATTGAGACCTAGGATGAGCTCCAAGTAAATCATGTAAGGACACTCACTTAGAATAAAATATGATTATTGTTTGTGATACAAGGAGGGTCTTTTTCCTACCAAATCACATTTTATTCCCAAGAAGAAACTATAACCAGTCAAATAACAACTAAAATTCAAATACAATCAGGGCATATTCAAACCAACAACCAGGATCTTGGGAAAGAAAGAGAGATGAAAGCAAAATCTTAAGACCGATGTAGGAGCAATTCTAATGTCCAGTCATTGCATAGAATAGGATATGGGTCTGCTCAGTGCGGTACTTTCAAACAGCACAAATGCCCATAATTAAACTGTGGGGACTTAGAATGGCATCCCTTGAGTGCTGAACTAGAGTGTCCTTGGTAGTGGGCTTATGCAGTTTGTTACCCATTGCTTGATTTCAATTCCACAGTCCAACATAGAACATTCCCAACCATATTGCATCTGCTGTTCTCTAAGCCCCTCCCTTGGAGCCGACCACTCTGTTTCCATAGTAACTACTATATAACTACCGTTCTGAGGTAGCAAGAAAGGAAAAAGAAAAACAGAAGAAAAAGACTAAACCTGGGTAGTTGGAGCACAAAACATTCTCTACCTAGAACTTTTATTTGTGCTTTCCTGTGTGGAAGAATACTTTTCAGAGTGACGTTTGCATCCATGTAATAGCTTCGTCTCTGGTCAGTGCTTCCATAGTCATGATTGGGCAAACAAATGGCATCAAGGCAGCGCACCCATCCTGAGTCCCTCTACCCCCCCCCCATTCATTCTTCCCATGTAGACAGTGATTCAGGAAAAAGGATGACCTCAAACTGGAGCAAGGAGCTTTGCAGTAGCCATGCCCTAACCAGTTAATCTGCTTCCTGATGCATGGCATGCTATCCATTTGATACATCATTTGAGCCTTCAGGTAAGTACATACCATAAGGCAACTTCAGTCACCCATGACAACTTTCCCTGTTTGAAAGAATGCTCTCACCTAGCTCCAGAACTAACTTCTTTCTCTAACTTGTGAGAGTAGGAGTCCCTTGCTGGGAGTAAAAGGAACCCCTGGGGATTCCAAAGGTGTTTACTCCCAAGATCAAGCTCCTGTAGCAACCTTATTTACAAGCGGAGTTCTTTCTCCCAAAGTTAGAGGATTTGGAAATCTGACCTCATAGGCAGGGTGGTGGCGGTGTGAGGAGTCAGATCAGGTTCGCTCCCTTTTCAGTCTGAAAATTCGAAAGCAGTGGGGAAGAAATGCTGGACCTATCACAGAGATGCTAACAGACAGCCTATTACAGTATTTAATAAAAACAGAAGCAGCATGCCTGTTATAGGCTAATAAATCCTACCCCCTGCACGCTTTTAAAAACAGTCTGAACGGGTTTCCACAGAGCTTCAGAGAACTAATGTTAAGCATGGCTGTCTAGAGTGCCCGTCACTCCTATTGTCCTTCCAAACTCTTGCAGACATTTTGAGCGAGGAGTATTAAAGCCATGAGTTAGCGAGGGTGTGACATCAATGGTCCACAAAGGCTGCCAGCACGAAGGGTAAAGATGAGTACCGGCTGCTGTGTGGAGGACTGTACGGGATCGCTGTCATTAAAAATTAAGCGTGTCTTTTGAGGAAGATGTGACAACTACCGGAGGTAGGATTTGCATGTAAAACAAAGGAATCTGTTGCTGTTTGGTGCTTTTTGTTGTTTGGTCGGCGCTGGGGTGCTGTGTGGGTCAGGGATTGCAGCCAGGTGCGACGGAGAGGCTGGGTCGGCTTGGGGCTCCACGTTGACCAAAACACAAAAAACAGTGGGCAGTGTGAGGTTTTATGGCTGGAAAGGCTCGCGGACAGACTGGCTCCCGGCTCGCTTGCAGCCTGCTGAGTGTGCACTCCACGTTGCTTGCCGTGGAGTAGAAGGCTTAGAGGTCATGGAGAAAACAGTTCGTTTATTACCAGTGGTGCCAGATAGGCTGGGGAGGGGGCAATCGAAAGAAGACTTTGGTGGGTGGGAGGCAGAGAGATCCAAGAAAAACAGAGGAGGTAGCCGTGCTGAACTTGAAACCTGTTAGGTAAATATTCCTGTAGTCAGTGTGCTTTGGTGGTCAGAGGGTAATTTGGAGATAGTGATGGTTTTCCCCCCATAATCCACTACACGAGAAAACTGGTTACCTCCGTCCATCTTGCATATTGAAAAGCTGATCCACACCATTCTGTTCCTATTAATGGCTTTGCTAAAAACAGACCGGGAGTTTGAGACTAAAGAAGGGGCTTTCTCTCTTGTTCCTGTCTTGCCTTTGAGCTACTGCTGGACTGCAGATGGAAATGGGGGTTTGTTAGAGGTTAAGGGCTTGACCTTTTATTTTGTTGATGAAGAGCATAAAGCATAATTCTCCTTGAAGATGAGAGGGATAGTTGGGTTCCACAGTCAGGGAGGAGGGGGATGATGAGTAGATTTGGCAAGCAACTACACTTCAGATGGAATCTGTGAGGCTCTACCAGAGAGGGACCACAGGAACCCCCCCTGCGGAGACTTCAGAGGCAAAAGTACAAGGATCCAAAACCAATGTTTCCGCAATTTGATCTGTGGTGCCAGTTTTGTTCTGTCATTGCCTGTGACCCTGAGTGTGAAGTGGCAGGGACAAAGTGAGCGCTTTCCTCCCTGCTGGTGCGTTCTTAGTCTGTGGACTTCACAAACTCCAAGCTGTAAAGATAATGCTTTCTATTTGGAAAAACAAACAAACAAAAACTCCGTGTTTCAACGCAAGATTTTAGCTATAATGAACAGCAAAGAAGCTTCAAATATTGACATTTATAAAGAATGTAACATTCTCCACTGGTCTATAAAATCTGTATAATGCAGTATGAGTTAAAAATAAGTGTTAAGGCTATAGTGTGTTAGTTTTCAGCTAAATATAAATACTAGAAATAAGATTAATTGGGATGAATTCCTGTGTTTTGAGCTCCTGTATATACACTATCATTTACACACAAACTCAAGATCATTTTCCCATGATTGAGACACCTCTAGGCTTGAAGTTGTATGTCTGTTTTCATAGCAAAATGATGGACATTTTGGAGCCAGTTACCATGTCCTGGCTGCTATTTAAGTGACCTGGGGCACATGGCAATGAATAACTGGATTTCCTGGTAAGAAAAATGGCTGAGACATAGTTTGTGTTTCTTTGTGACTAGTGGAGAGCATGACCTTGACCTTGTGAAGTCCCCATCTCTAGCCAGTTGAGGTCTCTTGTGAAGAATCTAGAAAAAGAGCTCAGACTTCACAAACACAAATTATGTCACAGAAGTTAGCAAGCACGGTGCTACTGTTTTCTTTGATTTTAAAAAGACTTTCCTGGCTCCAGTCTAACCAATTTTACCTGAATCTTATCATATCAAGTATTTCTTTGAGGGGCAATTTATGCCATGAAAACAACAGTAGAGGGATGATTTTATTGTAGTCATGCTCAAACACTTCATTGATAAACTGAAATTATTCCCACACTGTTCAGAGATTTGTAGGGAAAGCCCTTACATGAAATCTGGCTAGTGTGTGTCAATCTGGATGAAAATAAAAACCAGGAGGAAACAGGATGACTTGGGTTTTATTTTTGTCAGCTATGAGGAAAGGTGAGCTGAGTAATTCGGTCAATATACTTTGTGTGACAAATGAACTCCATTGCCCATTTATGTTGGTGGGTACCAGGCAGAGCCTCTCCCCCCATCATTCTTCCCTTTCAGTTTCTGCTCCATCTAGTAATGAAAAACAAAGCCTCCTCCAGCTACACAGGAAGTGTGCCAGGCATCTACCCTGATATAAAAAGTAAACAAGATGTCTGTCAGTCTTGTTATCTCAATCCTCCTGGCAGAAAACCACCATCTCAGTCATCAAGGTACCAAGAACCCACAGTAGTTCTTTTTGGCTCCTCTGGTCTACACCTGGTCTATACAAGCAGCCCTCACTCTACTTGTATCTACTAGACATGGCATTTCTCACACTGACACTACCTTCTCTTCCAGAATCTCTCTTCTCTTGGAAATAATAATAAAAATCTCCCCCCTCCAAATCCCTGCTATAGGATCAAATAGAAAGTAAACCACTATAATATATATGAAGCATAACCTTGATTACAAGAGCATATGTGTAATTGTGCAATATAGTTCAACTTACAATATAGATATGTATATATCCCTAATTTAAGAATACATGTGTATATGAAAAATAGAAAAAATTTACACTAAAACACCAGCAGCAGTGTTCTCAGTATGGTGTGCATATTTCCATACTTAGTAAGATGTTTTGTGGGAAGCATTATCCTAATAGTCACAAAACATATGTCAGAAAGCCCACCCATACTGCCTTTTCTATCCATCCATGCTGCCATTAGCCTCTTAGCTTACTTCACAGCACCAACTATGTGTTCATCTAAAATTCCAAAGTTATTTGTTTGTGCAAGCAAGACAGTGCAGGTGAAGTTTCTCTGCCAAGGCTCCATGGGTTTTTTTTCAATACACTTTGAGGAGCTCAGCATTATCCTCTGTCAAATACTGACTCCCTTGTTTTCACTGAGGTTGTCTAGAGAGAAAGTGCATGTGTGTAAAATTTCTATTTATTTTTAAAGTTTTTGAATTATTTTTAATTGTGTATATATTTCTGTATGTCTGTATGTGGGCATGTGTTTTGAGTACAGGGGCCCACAGAGAGCAGAGACATGTGACTCCCCGGCAGCTGGACAGACAGACAGTTGTGAATTTCTTGAAGTGAATTCTGGGAAAGCAGTCCTGGCAGGTCCTCCCTAAGAGCAGCAACCATTCAACCACTGACCTATCATCCCAGCCCCTTTTAGTTATTTTTTAAATGGAGACCACTTTCCAATTCTTTTCCTCATTCTCTGCTAAATCTTAAAATGTTGGAGTATTCCATGGATCAACTGTAAATCTCTTCTTTATCTATAGTTAAGCTCCAAATATGTCAAATCCTGTCTGGAGTCCTTTAAGACATTCTGTGTACACACAGCTCACAAATTCTCAGCTCTAACCTAGTCTCCCTACTGACATATCTAGCTTCCTACAGACCAGTTCCTTAAACATCTCATGGGCATCTCACTCCTCTGTTCTAAATCAAGTGTCTGGATTTCCACCAGAGACCCTCCTTCCCAGTGTCACTGTGACTTCATTGTTCCACTTCTCATAAGAAAACCCTGAAGACTTTGAATCCCCCATTCCCTCACAGGTCATAGTGCCTATTTCACTGCTTCTACCTTCAATATAGACCTAATACCATCACTGTTCATCCTATTGCCTTTCACCAACCCCCATCATTTTTCAATTCTGTCTCCCAAACCAGTGTTGTATCAAAATTGAAATTAAACAGTATCTTTTGCTCAAAAGCCCCGTTCCTCTGCTTACCCATCTGCCTTCAGGTTACAGTCAAAATCTTCCAGGGCTGCGAGCCTGGCTCCTCCCTCACCATTTCCCCATCTACTGTAGTCATGCTGGCTGCAGGGTGAGTCCTCAAAGCCACCCACACTCAGATCTTACAGTCTTTGCCTCTACCATACCCTTTCCCTAGAATATCCTTCCTGATTCTGAGCCTCACTGTTTCTGGTATCTGTTAAAAGCTTTCTTATGGAGTAGGCAGGCATTCAGTAAGCAGTGGCCCCATGGTTGAACACAACGCCCAGTGTAGGAATTGAATGTTTTTCTTCATCAAAATCCGTTGTAATGTTATATCCCAAACATTCATTGTTTTCAACCGTGGGGTCTAAACTCTGTGCCTTAACATCCTGTTGTTTTTTACAGAGAAATACCAAATACCTTGAACACGTCAAGGAGATTCACTAAGAGGATTTTCTTCCTTCGGTCTGCATAGGAGGAGAACACATCTCTGATTCCAATCTGTGTCAAAAGAAATATAAATTCAATTTATCTGAGTTTGATATTATCCAAACATTCAAAAGAACACTACACATATCCTACAAATGAATATGGGTGTAAAATGCCACGTATTTCCTCTGCCTTCCTGTGTTGATCCTAGAAGGAATAGCAAAGACATATTAGAAGGTTCTAGTAGAGTCTAGGACACTGGGAATCAATCAATCATATCCAACAGCTGTGCTAGTAAGTCACATTCTTCCCTATCCATGAGGTCTGTTTAACAGTGGTGTTCTACTACGCATAAAGTACGTTTTCAAATAACTACATTACAGTACATGACTTTATTGCCCAAAGTATGTAGAAGAGACTGTGTCCACTATTTCTACAGTGTTTTAGAATCTGGGGAGTTGGTATGCTAGAGTCACAGCACCCAAGAACAGAAACTTCTTTTCTTTTTTCTTTCATAGTGCTTTTCCCATGGGTAAAATTTTAATTCCTAATGAGCCTCAGTTTCCTTATGGTATTTTGTGATAAAAATGCTTACATCTGGATTTAAGTTTAAAGACAATCATGTATGCCCCCCCTCTCCACCAGAATGCCTGGAGCAGAGAACTTTAAGAAATATTTCTGTTACTGTTGCATTTGAGTGCCACACCGTGCCCCAGCTATAGACATGGGACATCCTATTGAACAGATGAGGGAACGAAGATACGGAAAACCTCAGCAAACTGAGGTCGAAGGGCTTGAAAGCTGTCGCATTTACTCTCCTTTCAGCTGTGTAGCTAGATGAGGTTAACCACCTTTAATGTAATGAGTGACTAAAGGCTGTCATGATTAGAGAAGTTTGTACGGAACTTAAGAACAAGTTTTCCCTTCTTTGAACAATATGGACAGTATTTATTTCCTAGGCCAAAAGCACACTCCAATTTCCAGGAGGCAGTTTAAATGGGTGCAGGTGTGCAAACTCAGTGTAATGGAGCAGTGGAAATCAGCTTTGCCATTGTGAACGCTGTACTGTGAATCCCAGCTCTGCCTGTTGTCTGCTGTCCAGCTAGCTGAGCCTCTGTCTGTTCAGCAGAAATGCAGACAGCATCAGTGCTGAATTCATGGGGTCATGATGATTATGTGTTAAGACAGTGCCTGGGCCGGGCATTGGTGGTACACGCCTTTAATCCCAGCACTTGGGAGGGAGAGGCAGGTGGATCTCTGTGAGTTTGAAACCAGCCTGGTCTACAAGAGCTAGTTCCAGGACAGCCTCCAAAGCCACAGAGAAACCCTGCCTCGGAAACCCCGTCCCCCCAAAAAAGACAGTGCCTGGTAAAGATAAAACACGTAGTAGATAATACCTATTGTATATCTGCTAAAAAAAATCACAAACACCAATTATACATATAAAATATACAGAAAGCTTTTGTTTAAAACAGTATCCCATATGTCTTTTTAATCCCGGCACCCAAGAAGCAGAGGCAGGTAGAACTCACTGTAAGTTGGAAGCCATCCCATTCTGCCTATCAGGTTCTAGGCCGACCAGGGCTACACAGTGAGACTCTTTTGTATCAAAAAAGAAAAGAAAAAAGATTGAAAGGAAGAAAGGAAGGAAAAAAGAAAAGAAAACTCAAGGAACAAGAACAACGAAACTTTTATGGCTCTCACTTTGTTATGATTTTGGTCACACTTTTTTATGCTGCAGCTTGAACTCAGGGCTTTGTGCACACTAGGTAAACACTCTCTCCACTCTCTCACAGAGCCACATCCTTGGAAGTGTTTCTTCTTTGCTACTGCATGCCTCCACATCCATTCAGTTGGCAGCATGTGAGTCATTAGCATCAGGGTATCATACAGGAGTTCACGGCTGTGAAGTATCAGACCAGGACCAGAGACAGATTCTGCTGAAATGTGTGACATTTGTTCGTTTCTTATTAGGCAACAAAGAGAGAAGCAGCCATGAAGAAAAAAACAGGCAAAAGTCTGTCTCTCTGAGATGCCAAACTCAATTTTATAAACTCAAGCACCTAAGACACAGCTTCAGCCAAGTATCCGAGGCTCTGGCTTCAATGTTTTTGGGATCTTTGCTCTGCTTGTGGCTGCAGTGGCTGGCCCCTAAGAAAAAGTCCTGATGGAGCCACTATGACACAACATGATGTCACATGACATGTTGTCGTCCATTACACCACCATGTGAGGTCAGGGCACAACATACATGCAATTGGCAGGTAACCTCACCAGTTATGGCAGGTTTAGCAAGTGTGTTTTGTTTAAACCGTTGAGAAACTCTCCAAGGCTGAGGTCTATCTATTAGAGGTAAACACTCCCCTTCTCTAGTCAGCAGTGACCTCTGTCCTGCACCATGACATCAAATTCTGAACTCTGAAGCTTCATCTTAAAGCTAATGCTTCTCAGATGTTTCCTTTAACGTTTCTCAAACCCACCTCTGTAACAACAACCAGCTCCAACTGCATAATCCCAAACTACGGATACACTATTGTAAGAATTTCATGGAATCTTATGGGTTGGTTTTTAAAAGGTCGTTACAAGGTAGTCCTTTCATTCCCTTAAAATGTTTATGTAATTCCAGCCTGGCCCCATGGCACCATGCTGTGGGCTTTGGTTCAGGATTCGCCCGGCTTCCTCAGGCATCAGGTCTTAGAAGCACTCTGGGGAGCATTCACATGTTTCCTGAATGAATCCCTGATTATTAGTCTACACTTGATGTCTCTGTGCCAGGTTGGACTTAAGGACAGATGAATGCCACACCTTGGCAATAGATTCCTGAGTGACATAGTCATATGAATGAGCCTGGACCTGCAACCTCTCATCTGCTTGTCTTCTTGTCTCTTCTGTTTACATTACCAGACCATGGCAAATGCATCCCCCAAGCTGGCTCCCTCTGTTTTCCTCCCTGCTGTTGGTCCATGGTTCCTGGCTACCCTTATCTTTGTAAAGCACATGGTGGATCTTGCCTTCAAAGCTGACTTCAAGGCTGACAGTTCACACAGCAAACACCTTGGCCCCTTACTCATCAAAGCCAGGGCAACAGTGGAGCTTAGATGAGAATTTCAGTGCAGGAGGAGGAGAGGGAATACTTCAGTACAGAAGACGGTTGTGATGCCAGGCAGGTAGACTATGGCTTAGATTGGCTGGCATGTGTACAAAGTAGGGGAGATGTCAGATGAATGCATATGCAGATTCCCTGACACCCTGGTATTCTTCTTTAGTGGGAAGCAAAGCCTCAAAAGGTTTTGGACCCAAAACTTCATTTTTAGTTTGTAAAATGGGGTCAGAGGAATAGTTAAGCTCATAATGAAATGTAATGTGTAATTAAAAAGTTAAGGTATACTGTTTGTCTCTTTATCTTTGCCCGTGTGTCCATGTCTGTGACTGTGGAGACACACATGCAGCCAGCAACTTGAGGAGACCAGAGGAGTGCTTTGGGTGTTGGTCCTTGCCTTCTACTTCCTTTGAGACAAGGTGTCTTATTTGCTGCTGAGTGAGCCAGGCTTGCTGGCCTGGTAGTTTCTGCAGCTTGTGCTGTCTCTGCCTCCTGCGTCGAAGTGGAGAGCTGTTATTATAAACACACACACTACTGGGCCTGGCTTCATATGGGCTCTGGTCGTCTGAATTCAGATCCTGATACATGAATGGCATCACTGTGCCAGGCCTAAAGTTACGCTTTTAATGCAGTAATTAAGTTAAAAATTTATTGAGAGCTGACACACTGTTTTATAAACTCCTAGGTGAAGAGAACTGCATTAAGAATACACACACACACACACACACACACACACACACACACACACACACACACACACACATATATATATATATATATATATATATATATATATATATATAGAATACTTTAAGATGCCTTTAAAATAACATGATCAATATACTCATTCCTCTTCACCTTCTTCCCTGAGGTAAAGCTATAGAGAAAACAGATAATGTTTTATCTGTATTTACCAGGCCACGCATGCAGCCAGGGATTTGGGATTCTACAAACCACATAAATCTTAATTCCACGGAATCCCCTCTGTGTGCTGTGGAGTAAACAGGGCTCTTCTGAAGGAGGAAGGAAAGAGAAGTTTGCAATGTCTGGTGGTGCCTGTTTGTTGCTGGACCACAAGACTCCCAAGCATCTTAATGATTGTGAACCATTAGCAAAATCGATCCACACCGGCTTCTCTTTAATTGTGTATGTTAGTGTGTCTCTTGGTAGGGGTCTGGAGGCATCAGGTTCCCTGAAGTTTCCAATGATTTCGAACTGCCTGACGTGTGCTGGGGACCAAGCCTGGGTGCTCTGCATGTGCTTTCAACTGCTGAGCCATCTCTCCACTCTCGAAATAAGACTTTTTCAAAAAGAGGGCTGGATTTGGAAAAATCTTCAAAATAAAGCTCTTCGATACTGTGTGTCTGGGAATTTCAGTGAGTTTGGAGACGAAGATCAGAACTTTTCATTCCTTTTTTCATTCAGCTTTTCCCTGAAAAGCTGAGAAAGGTTAAGTGCTTGGACTCTTAAACTCTTATACTAGAAGTGAAGTGTCTTTCATAGTGAAACTCTTATGAAGTTAAAAGTAGCAATTCTAGTGCAAACGTGGACTCTTGTTCTACAACCCATGAGAGATTCACTCTGGGCATGCTGGGGAAGGTAGTTCATGGAGGGTGATTACTTAAGAGGTCATACTTAGTATTCTGAGCTGGTTTTGAAAAGGCACCTAAAGACTTCAGATCACATGAAGAAACAGGCAGAGCTGGTGAGGCAGCTCAGCTGGTAAAGTGAACGCTGTTCAGCATGAGGATCTGTGGGGACAAAAAGCTGGATATAGTTGTGTGTGCTTGCTATCCCAGCGCCGTGGAAGGAGATAGGCAGGGAGCACCTGACCAGACAACCAGGCCTACTCAGTGAGTTCTGGGTAAAAGTGACAACTGGTCTCAAAAAACGAGGTCAGAGGTTGTCTGGCCTCGGTGCGCAGATTCACCACCTCCCACACCCAGTCTCCCCCTTCCCCCAAATGTAACAGAACCAAACCACAGTCAGGCTTCCTGTGGGGCTGTGCTTCTGGCCTTTGCATGATTTTCATCTCCTGGTATATTCCAAATGAAGCAATCAGAAGAAGAAAAAGAATGGTAATCTGAAAGGAAAAATTTTGAGGCATAATTCTAAAAGGATTATTGTATTTCCTCCTTCCCCGTGAGAATGACTGATGATCGGTTTAACTTTGCTTCCTAGTGATTTATTTGATCCTGTGTGCTGCTTGGGAACAGTCTGCGAGGCCGTGTTTAGACAACTCAAGGTAACTATTTGCTTTTAAGATGTAAAAATAGAGCAGAAGAGGTGCCACTTCTCTGCTGGAATGAATCCAAAGAGCAGTTGAGAGACTGCCTCTGAACGAGAAAGGGTTGAGATACCACATTACTAAAGTGAGGAAATATTTTGAAATACAGAACAAATAACCAGCACAGCAAACTAGCCAGACAAAGCCCATCATAATCCACTTCCATCACTAGCTCTGCCTCTCCAGTGAGCGGATTTAGACTCTGCTGAACTGAAACTGACAAAGTCTAATGTGAAGAAAGCAGATGGGCTCTGATTTGTCTGCCCGTTGAGAAGCCGTCTTGTGTGTAATTTTGATTTCAGACACATGATACTATTGAGTGTGGCCACTAAAAGGTGAATTTCCCATCAGGCTGTGAATGCACCCAGGTGCCCACATTAGTTTTTAGTTTGTTCTCCATCCTGTTAAAGCTTTACTTTATAGGCCTCAATCATTTAGTCGTCCATTCACTTGTTCAGTATTTCTTGTCAATATCCACTATGGACGAGGCAGTGGACAATCACTAGGACTGCTAGGAAGGCAATCTCCCCCTACCTTGTTGGAGTTTATAGCCACGGTGGAGGCATAAGCAAATACTCCATTAGGCTTGAAGAAGCACTGGGTGGGGGGATTCTAACTGGAGACATTAATATAGTTAAGATGTCTGAGAATGGAGATGCTAAATAATAGAAATGTGTAAAAGTGAAAAGACAGAACAAGTAAGGAAGTGGCAGGGGTTAGGGAAGACATTCACCAATAGGTCTCTCATTGTCTCTCTGTGTCTGTCTGTCTCTGTATGTGTTGGGGGGGGGGGGGGGGGGCAGAAACAACAGACTGAGACAGAGAAGACAGAAATCAGAAATGACAGAGATGGTTATAGAAAGGCAGAGAGAGAGAGCGAGAGAGAGAGAGAGAGAGAGAGAGAGAGAGAGAGAGAGAGAGCGCAGAGGGCTGTATGGTTCACAGGCAGGGACACCCATGTCAGACAGAACCTCACTGCTTCCATTATGCTACTTGTGATGGAAAGCCATGCAAGGGACTAAGCAGGGATCCAGTGTTTGTGATGGGCAAAGGAATGTCCACCGCTGTGGATTCAAACTGAAAAAGAGTATTGGGTGCCAGATAGAAGGGCCATTCATCAGTCCAGGTGGGATGTAGCAGACTCGGGCGAGGTCTTCACGTTACAGAGCTGGCAATGAACCAAATCTGGGCTGGGAGGGGCATGAGAAAGTAGGAGGAGGTGAATGATAACAGATCTCAGGCTTGAGAGGGTTCAAGTTTATGGAACACAAGAGCAGGACTAATTTCCTTTCACATAAAAGATTTGAAATTGCAATCTCCACTCACTGTGCTGTCTCCCTCCTGATTTAGTTGTCTCTTTAACTACTGCTGACTTCCAAGCCATCTCTCCAGATTTGACCTTGCCGCCTAACTCAAGTCCTGAGATGACCACTCCCTAGTGGACATTTCCTTACAGCAGTCATCTTTAGACCTCAAAACAGTGGCCCAACTAACTCTTGTCCACCCTATCTCTTGTTTCTATCCCTATGTCACCAAAGTCCTAGACTTCAAAGCCAGTAGTTGTCTTTAAGCCCTCTTTCAGCCATAGACCTGACTGTCCTGAAGTCGATGAATTAATTCTTCTCTCAAATTATCTTTTGGTTGTCTGTCTTTTCCTCCCACACAAATAATATCCTTGCTCTCATGCCCCTGTAACTAACTTCCTCCCCTCTCATCTGATATTTTTAAAATCATAGTTGTTGAGTAATATGTTCAAGAATGATTTGGATAACTTAAAAAAATCAGCTGGGTGGTGGTAGCACATGTCTTTAATCCCAGCACTCAGGAGGCAGAGGCAGGTGGATCTCTGTGAGTTCAAGACCAGCCTGGTCTACAGTGTGAGTGCCAGGACAGACTCCAAAGCTTCACAGAGAAACCCTGTCACAAACAAACAAACAAACACATTCATTCATGTATCCAATATTGAATCACAATCTTTTGATTACCATGTAGAGATTTCCAAAAGAGATTATCACATATAAATTTCTAGAAAAACAATTCCAATCTCTTCATTCCCCATTCTTTTCTTTATAGTCTTCCCAAATATTTTTAAAGTGCAACCCTGGTGGTGAACCTTCCATGAGCACAGACTTACACTCTTACCTAATCCAGCAAATAAAGTCTCACAGACTGGGTATCCAGAACCTTTAATTCCTAGTGTTCTGACAAATTTCAAACCTAATCCATATTCCCTCTTCTCCCCACCCCATAAAACATGTCTGTTGTATACTCATGCCTCTTTTGCTCACCCTCATAGATTTCAAACATCTAGGGAATTTGATCTCTCTGAATCTACCCAGTCTCCAGTAGTCCTCTTGGACAACACTGGTCTCATTTTTCTTCTCTATATATTCTTTGCTCTGTAGGCTAGCAGGGATCTCTACAATTTTGAGTTCTCTCTGCATGATCCATCTTTTGGTATCTAATTTATCACTTGCTTATATATAAATGTGTTTCCTTTTTTCTACTTATGCATCAAAGATAGAAAATTACATTCTATAAAATGACAGACTGATGGAAAGTTGACTTTGTTGCTAAATCAATCTAATGTGTGTCTTTGAACAAATAATTTATCTTCTGTTAATTAGGACAGTATCACATAATTTTGCACAATATAAGTTGAAGTGTCTGATAAAGACACTTCCAAAATAACAAATATTTCCTCAGTAAACTTCATCATTTAATCATTGTATCAAGTAAACCTCTATTTTAGAGCACTTTCCTTCAAAAACATTGCATTCAAATTGCCTGTGTTTACAAGGGCAACATCAATCCCTGGCACACTGAGCATGTATCCAAATGTTACCAGAGTATCAATTATTGGCTCGAAGAAAGAGAAGAGTGAAAATTTGAAATTGGAGAGAGAGGGAACAGCATGGACATGAGACTAGCCTACATTAACCCACCTACATGTTCATGTTGAATGTTCCCTTTACTTAATGCAAGCAAGCAAACAGCAAGTCTAAGACTGCTCAAAAGCAAGCTGTTTTCTAAGGAAAGTTTCTATTAAATAAAGGTCCCAGGAAATGGCAGCATCCTCTGTGTGTAGCCTCTCACCTGCTGGCTGGGACCCTGCCCCCTTTACCTGGACTGTACATCATTCCCCACATTGTGCTTGTTGTCTGGGACCCCCTGCCTCCGTGCACCATTTTACCTGGACTGTACAGCATCCTCCCACACACATTGTGTTCAGGTTTGCTTTCTCATTTCTCAAAGCACCGAATACATCTACAATGCAACTTCAAAGAATAAGCATTTTGGTCTCTTTGGGCTATTTTTCTGACCTCCAGTGCTCTATAAAAGAATAACAAAAACACAAACAATTAACCCAAGGAAAGTCTTGACACAAGAAGGTCAGTGTTGTACTGATAGAGGTATCTGCACCAGGAGAGAGCCCATGATGTTTTCATGGTCTTACTTCAAGGCTTGAAGTTTTATCAGCCCAAGGTAAAAGCTTGAACTTCCCTTGTTAAAAATGACTTCCCCCCACTGAGGCATTATTTGAAAGAAGGTGCCCAGGGATTTAGGGCACTCACAAGGTGCATCAGGACATAGTGATTTAAGAATGGAACAATGGCATGAAGTAGGTCCCCAGTGCATTGGAAATTTCCATACAAAAAGAAAGGCTACAAACAGAAGCTGAGAGAGTAGCAATACTCTTTGTGGAGCCTGAGTATGGGCAGGGTGCAGACTCCTTTAGACACTTCTGCGTCATTCAAGGCATTGCTTATGTCAGTTGTAAAAAAATGGGGTCATTTCTGCCAAAAAAGGCATTGGGTAAGCTAAAGGAAGTTACATGTGCAAAGTGACTGGACAATGCAGCTCATGGGTGTCTGTCATTGTGATGGGAGGGATTAATTGCCATGTCAAGGGTTACAGAGTTCAAAGAGGAAGGGCTTTTGAATTTGAACATTGGGATTTTATTGATTGGTTCAGTGACAGAGCTAGGGATGATTTTCCACGAAGTTGTTAAAAGCTGAAATGCTTTTAATGGAATGACATTAAAGCATGGAGCAGGTGCTGGCGTGGAGGCAGACTTTTCTTTCAAAGAAACAGTCTCCCAAAGGAAAGAGTGAGGGCAATTGACCAAGGACCAATAAGGACACAGGAAGGGTTCAGAATTTCCTTCAAGTGGTTGGCTGTGGGGCTGGAGAGATGGCTCAGCAGCTAAGAGGATTTCTGTTGCAAGAGGGAGCAAACTAGGTTTCCTTTAAATACATTTAACTCCAGCTCTGAGAGATCCAATGTCTTCTCTGGGCCTGTACATGCAAGTGGACACACACACACACACACACACACACACACACACACACACAGGAACACACACAGAAAGAGACAGACAGATGGATGGATTAAATAAATCTTTAAAGGAAACATCTTTAAAAGGTTTGTTGTGAGGGCCTCTTAGTAGTTGGTGAGCTAGCACCTTCTTGTGCTGTGTGGATGGCACATTGATACTTCTCATTGATTTACCACCATTCTTCCACCCGTGGGTTGGTTGTCATCACCCCCAGTTGTGGACAGAAAACTGAATATAAAGCACACTGAGAGCTCTAGAGCCCGAATCTCTCACCAGTACCCCTGTCTCCAAACAGGGGCCACACTGCTTGGCTTAACTGTGAACATATCACTCTTGCCTTTGGAACCTGAGTAATCAAACTCTGCCATTTCCAGGACAGCCCAAGGAGCAAAAACCATGCAGAATTGTTTATTTTTATATAATTACTTGCCAATAAGAGCTTCCAAAAACACACCATGTTGCACACATCAATAGCACACTGTATCAGCCAACAGGCACTTGGCATGACACCAGCCATCCCTAGGGAACATGCAGTTACTGCTCACTTAAGTTAAAATCAACCTTAAAATTCTCATTTCTTGCACTTGAAGAAAAGAGACTCAGAAAAAGTGATCATCTTGCCCAAGATCCACAGCTTGCTTGTAATGCTGTTGTGATTCAAGCTGCAGCCACCTGTACCTAAGACTTGGAAGCATTGTAAGGAATCCTTGCTGGTCATTCCACACACTTTCTTCTTGTAGCTCAGCAAGCACAGACATAATATCCAAATGATCTACATACAGACTTGAGCTATGATATCCCAAAACGACCATGTCAGGAGCTCCAAGACAAGAGGAGAAGCAGTTCTGTGCATTAAAATCTATTTCTCTCTCTCTCTCTCTCTCTCTCTCTCTCTCTCTCTCTCTCTGTGTGTGTGTGTGTGTGTGTGTGTGTGTGTGTGTGTGTGTGTGCGTGTGCGTGCACGCGCGCTAAGAATAAACTCAATGCCTCATGAAGATACCAGCCAGTTTAATAAGTTCATTTTAAATGGTGAATGTGAAGAATGGTAGATTTAACAGCATTTCCACCCTGGACTCTATTCTGAGAAGGAACAAAAACAGTGATTTGTTATGTAAGAGAGTTCACAATTTTTCCTTAATGTATCAAGTTGTTTGTCCATCTTTCTCTTCTTGTCTTTTGAAAAAAATAAATGTTGTAAGGAGGATTCATTTTGTTTGCCTGGTAGTTCCCCTAACCTCGAACATCAAGGACACTATACACACTCTAATCGTCTCTCTTTGGTTTTTCAAGACAGAATTTCTCTGTGTAGCCTTGGCTGTCCTAGAACTCAATTTATAGACCAGGCTGGCCTCAAACTTATTGAGAGCCACAATCCTCTTCCTCTGCCTCCCGAGCGCCGAGATTAAAGGTGTGCACCACCACACTTAGCTAGATTCTTCTCTTGTTTTCCCCAAGTCAGTTTGCTTCCAAGCACAGGACTGACTGAAACATCTCCCAGATCAGGAAGTTCTCAGAACACAGAGCATAGCTCTTTTTATGCCTATATGATATTTTTGTAGCTGTTACAATTCAAGCAAATATAACAATTATCCTTCTTTTTGCTTTTTCTTTTAATTGTGGAAAATCAAACCCTTTCTTTTTATGAAAGGATCATAATTTATATTCAAAAGCAACAGCCTGGTAAGCTCCACACTGAGAATTGGAGTAGCTGGCTGGACTTGTGAGTCAACACCACAGCCACTTCGGACTGCCCTAGGGGTGCTGTTTGGAGTGCATCCTTCTTGGCCAAGTGGATCAGCATTGGATGTCATCCTTGTTTCATAGACATAATAGGACCCAAGGCCTTCTCACTGGTGGAGCTTCGATAAAGTGAAGCAGAAAAGACTCCCCTGTTTAGTGCTGTCCTGGTGCACTTTGTCTCTGCTTGTCACCTTGTCCCTAAGATGAAACTGTGCTGATTCATATAAATCAGTGTCAATAAAGCATTATAGCAAAATTCTACCTGACCCTTCAGCTGAAATTTGAACTTAAAAATGTTCTTCATTTAAACTCACTTAAGATTTATGATAGGCACATAAAACGTGAAGTGAGAAACATATTTCTTTTGCTGTCCTACCCATGCAGACATGCGTGCGTGCGTGCGTGCGTGTGTGTGTGTGTGTGTGTGTGTGTCTGTATGAATTGTCTCTCTGAAACAGGGTCTCAGGTAGCCCAGGCTGGATTTAAACTGGTTATGTAGCTTGAACTCTTGATCCTCCGACTTCTACTTCCTGATTTCAGATACATGCAGCCATGTCTAGTTAGATAAAAGGTTTTTTAAAAAGATGAAATAGATCCCAGAGTTGTTTTTTTTTTTTTTAACTGCCTGCTAAAAACAGCCAGAGACTGGGCAAGTGGCTTAAATGCAAGGAAAGATGAGGATGAGAGAATGGGAGAAGAAATGTTCGGCTGGGAAAAAGAATGCCATCCATGACTAAGCACTCTCTGGTCAGTTTCAACTACTCTCCCTCTACCCCTACCCCTCCCATTCTCACTCCCTTTCTCTCTCCCTTCCCTTCCCTCTCTCTCTTTCTGATTCTCTGTCTTTCTGTCTCTATTTGTGTGTCTCTGTCTCTCTGTGTGTTGTCTCTCCGTCTCTGTTTGTCTTTGTACCTCTCTGTCTCTCTGTCTCTGTCTGTCTCTCTCTCTCTCTCTGATGTGTGTTTGTGGGTACATGTGTACATGCAGAGTTCAGGGTTAGGTTTCCTTTTCAGCCACATTGCATCTTATTTTTCTTATATTTTTCTTACTTTAATTAAAATGTAATTATATCACTCCCTTTTCCCCTTCTTTCCTGAAACCATTCTCATATGTACCCTTACTCCTCAAATTGGTGGTCTCTTTTTCTTTATTACTGTTACATATATATGTGCATAAATGTATAACTACAACTTGTGGAGTCTGTGTAGTGTGGCTGACTACTTGGTATGCAACAGCCAGTTAGGGGCTCATTCTTAGGGGAGAGGAGAGAACAATCCTCCCTCTCTCAGCAGTCATCAGTTGTTCTTTGGGAGTGGGGCCCCATGAGATTTCTCAATTCCATGTTAGCATGTCCGTTGGTTTTGTCATTATTCAGGTCTTGTTTAGGCAGCCATATTCTTGTGGTATCATGGATATAGCAACACTGTCATTTCCAGGAGACATAATCTTGCATCAGACTTTCTTGGCCTCTGGCTCTTACAATCTTTCCATCTCCTCTTCCTTGATCTTCCCTGAGCTTTAGTTGCTGTATTGAAGAAGTTGATTACAATGGGACTAAGTTTCCCATAATCAATTGATCTCTTCGTTCATTTTGAGCAACCAGTTTTACTTGGTTGGCTCACCAGAGAGCTCCTGAGAGTCTCCTGGCTCCACCTCCCTCATATTGAGATTACGGGCATATGTCCTTGAAGGTACTCATGACTGAGTGGCAAGCACTTAATTGCTGAGCCATCTCACCCTAGCTTCAGAGGTACTAATGGTACTGTAGAACTGTTCAAATTGGTTTTTCAAAAATATAACTTTCGGGATAAATGAGGGCAAGCAGAGAAAAAAAGGGCAGCAATCACTGAAAATCAATATAAAACAGCCAAATTGCTCTAACAAAAACTCTTATACTTAATAATAGCTCTTTTGACTACTGGTTTCTGTATCAGGTGCTAGACAAAGCTCTCTGCATGATTATCTAGTCATATCTTGATGACAAAACTATAAGTAGGGTGTTTTTTTAGTTTTCACAGGATGAGTTTGAGGCATGAAGAGGTTCTGCAGCTTGGCTAAAATAGAACAGTTAACAGTGATTCAAAGTCAGGTTGTCTAACCTTCATCCCAGACTTCACATGCTTAATCTCCCTTACAAAGATATTCCAAATATCTATGCCTACAAAACAATGACCTCCAGAGAAGTTGGTTATGAGTAATTGCAATGAATATCTAATAAGGATTCAGATCTGAAATACTTACCAATCAAATCTTGAAATGGCCATTGCTACCAAAGCACCAAACCTATTCATCACTTGCTGTCGTAGAAAGAGGATTGAAAGGAAGTGAAATTGAGAACATTCACATCATTCATATTTAAAGAGAAAAACATTTTTCTTATCAGAGTCATCTTGAACATTACCACAAATGACAATTCCTTCCATTCTTTTCTGATGGAAGAAAAGTACCTACCAAAAACCAATTTAACTCCATTTTTCAACTGCCAGTATTGGATCTCTGCCAATAGCAGCACATGTAATTTTGTTTCTCCTGAAAAATGAAGAGCACGACTTCAAACAACTTCTGTGAAATCAGTATAACTTCTATTCATTGGTAGAGTGCTTGCCCAGCATGTCTGAAGTACTGCAGCACATCCCCAGCATCACACAAAACCTCTGTGAGCCCAACACTTGGGAAGTGGAGGCAGAGGGATCAGAAATCCAGATCATCCTCAACTACATAGGGAATTTAAGGTCACCCTGTTCCACGAAGTTACTTACAAATTTGTATTGATTACTCCTCAGGAAAACATACTGGATAAGATCCAAAAGCATATGGCTGTTGTGTAAAGGGCATGGGTCCCTGCTTTCTGAAAATGACTCCTCTATGGATAGGAGCTGTCTATGGAGAACTTCACAAGGCTGCTAAGAGCATATGACTAAACCCCAGATCCTTGTCATTTTTAATGAAAATTCTTAAAGATAGCACATTAATAATGAAAAGAGAGATGCTACTAATGATGGGTTCACTGACTGGAAGGTGGCTCACTAGAAGACAGTCTTTGCCATTGGAACAGACAGACCTGCCACATGGTGCCCAGGTTGACTCTGCAACTGGGAGGTTTCAGGGCAGTGAGAGTCAAAAAGTGTACACAGGATATTTCACTTACTTTATTTACTTACTTGGCCTTAATTTTCTATTTTCATGTGTGATTGTGTGCAAGTCTACATGTTCATTCATGTGTGTGTAGATGCACGTGAAAGTATGTGCAGATGTGTGCTTGTGCACATAGAATCCAGACTTTGACTTCAACCGCCATCTGTATCATTCTCCACCTTAACTTTTGAGAAAATGTTTCTCACTGAACCTTACCAATTGGACCATACTAGCTAGCAAGGGAGGCCCAGAGATTATCTTGTCTCATCTTCCCCAAGATGAGCATACCAGGTGTACACTGCCATGCCCACTTTTTTATGTGAGTTCTGGGCATCAGAACTCAAGTCCTCATACTTTCAGGGCAAACACATACACACTAAGCTATCTTCCAACCCCAACTTTTTGAAAATCCTTTTTATTTACTTACTTATTTGTACATTTATTTATTTGTTTGTTTATTTTGCTGTGCTAAAGATTGGACTTGAAGACTCATAAATGTTGGGTAAACTAGCTAGGGATGAAATATACATTCCCAGTTCACAGAGATAAGGTGATTATTTGCTGTCCATGAAACTTTCTCCAGCTGAGAAAGTTTCCTTACTGATCAACCAATTCCTAGTGTATGACCCAAGGCCTGACAATATTATGAGTACTGCACTCATTCCTTGTGAGCCATGTCACTTTAAACAAGTCACGTAGTCCTTCAAGCATCAGTTTCTACACCTATGAAATGGGTTCTCACAATTCATACCTTACAGCTTTCTTTGTTGGAAAGTTTAACAAAATAACATATGAAACATACATGCAGGTACAATGGGCAGTAAATCAAAAGCAGCCATTGTTACAAAAGCAGCACGTGTGTTCACACAGTCTGTGTCAGCAGGATGTGTTATGTTGAATAATCATTCTCATTCTGTTTAGTCAAAATGTATGTGCTAGGGAATAAGCAGGGCAAGACCTTCCTGTATTCTTTTAGATCACTAAATCTTTTGTTCTTGATGCTAACATCAACAAAAGTTCCCTCCGTGACACCAAGGGGTTTGCAATGATATATTGAAAAGTAGAATGTGCCAAATTTCATCCCAGACTCACAGTGTTTGCATGCCCCAAAAATGGGAAAGCTAATTTGCCAGGAAACTTGAGATAGTATAATGCAAGACTAGATATTTTGGGGGTGTTGTTGTTGTCTGGTTGGTTGATTTTGTTGTTGTTGTTGCTGTTTGTTTTTTGAGACAGGGTTTCTCTGTGTAAGAGAGAAAAAAGAGGTCCTGTGTGTATGTGTGTGTCTGATGTCCTAAAAAGAAAACCAAGTATGTGAGTCACTTTTGAGGCTTTTGCCAAAATACCTGAGATAAACAACTTAGAAGGAGTGGGGTGATTTTTGGTTTGTGATTCAAACTATGGTCCCTTTAGCTTGGACCAACACAGTGATGAAAGGCTATTCAAAGGGAAGCTGTTCACCTCTCCACTTCCAGGAGATAGTGGTGCATACACATCCAAACCACACTGCCTGTGAACTATCTCTTCCCACTGCACCCTACCTGATTTCCACCACTTTCTTGTCATGTCATCTAATTAGGAATCTATCAGTGGGTTAATCTACTGATGAGGCTAAAGTCCCTGTGAACCAGACACCTATCACCTAAGGCTTTAACCCATTTGGAGGACATTTCAGGTGCAAATCATAAATGCCAAGAGAACACAGAATCATGGGTGACAAGAGAAGAGAGAATTTCATGGAGGTGATTGTGAAACAAACTGTCAATCCCCAAAGGGTCCTCCAGGAGGATAAAGATCTTGAGATTTTTCTTGCCACCAGTGAAACAACCAAAGCCATTTCAGGACTTAGCAAGAGCAAAACCATGGACATGAGAAATGGGAGGTGGAATGGTGCACAGAGCTACAGCTTGAGAGATGAGGGAAGGGGTCGCTTGGATGAGGAGGGGAGAGTACATTCACAGGTTAGAAGGAAAGAGGTAGTGAAGTGGATTAAAACTCAAGAATCAGCAACAGTTAATAAATGAACTACAACCCTGACACACTGATTCATCAGCAGAATTCTGATGGCACTTTTCTATAGTACACCCATTTTATCTACTAGAGGGTTTTGGGGTGTTTTTTATTGTGTATTTAGATATTATAACCATTTCCTCAGGATAAGTGGGCATCGAACCAAGGCTATAATAAATGACTGCTGTTGGACACAAAGGTTTCTTCTTCTAAGATGAGAGAGCAAGGAGGTATTGGCTACAGAAATAAGAACAGGGTAAAATAAGAGCAGCAATATTTTGAAGGAAGAAGGGTGGGAACTCCCAGTGGATGATTTCAGAGTAAGAAAGCAGAACGGGCAGGCTAGAGTGGGGGCAATACTTAAATGTAAAATGTCTCCTGCAACTCTAAGAGGCTAAGTTAAGGGGGGCAGGGCTCTTTCCTAGTCTCCGTGACAGCCTAGATTTGGTCTCCAACATAGACCTTTCAAAAGGGCATTAGAACAAAGATAGTCCTCTGCCCAGCTGCTTTGGTTGGCAGTCCCTGAAAAGCTACAGAAAGGGAATCACCATCCTTTTATTGCCCTTAGGAGAAAGAAATTTGTAATCAGAGATGGCCCAAAACGAAGCAGTTATGGAATATCAGGGAAAATGCTATGGCAGGTTATCATGAGGAAAAGTTCTTAACTGTAGACCAAACTGTCTGTAAATGAGTCTAACTGCTTCAGAGGAATGTCCGAGTTTGTGCCCCTGTTCTGCCCACAGATGAGACAGATGAACTGAGATTAAAAGAGGTCCTGGGACTTAGTCACCACTAAGGTAGCAAGCACCACAAAATCTGGACATGAAACCTTGTGACAATCACACCCATGCCTGGGGCTCCCCTCTAACTCTGCACTGGGTCTCTGGTTGAGCTTCTCAATTAGCAAAATGGCTGTATTTTTTCTATGAGACTTAATAGTAAGATCCATAAATTGTTTTTTAGCTCTTTGCAAGAACAATGGGGAAGAGTTCAGTATCTTCTTCATTGCTGTTACTACATGAACCAGATTGGATGCCTGCATCTCATAGGGTTCCTTACAACTAGGGTGAAGCTCCCTATTTTAAAATAAGACAGTTTAAAATTGCCCGTAAAATATACAGATATAAAGGGTAATAATTCAGTTGCTACACAGAAATCCAGACATGGAAAGAAAGGAAAGTCTTGAAGCCTAAACAAGCAGCAAGGTGCAGGCTGCTAAAACATCTAAAGACTTATTTTAGGAAATTATGAAGCACTGTAAATAGAGACAAGGATCCAGTGAGTCTCCTCCCAGTAGCTGCTCCAGCTCTGAGAGATGAATGGACAGATCATCTCTTTAACCCTTTTGATTTCTGACTTTATCTCAGTTTTTGCCATCATTCTACCAAAGCGCCTAAAATGGTAAAAATGATGTAATAGATCATAGCTTTGGAATGTTATAAAAAGAGCTATAAATACATTTGTTTCAGTTTCAAATGCTTCATCTAGAATGGGACCACGCAAAATAAAGAAGTAAATATTGTTGGATTGGCTCTGTTTCAGTGGGCTTGTCACTACTTTTGTTGCCTGCACCCAGCCAGTTGCTGTTTACTCTGTATGGTTGAATGCCCTGCCCACAGCTCCAAGGAAGGCAAGGACAATAGTGGCTGTATTTTTGGACCAATGTACCTGGGCATCATTCTTTTGTGAGCATCATACTCCTGGACCACTGTGGGAGAGAATAAAGGAGGAGAGGGAGTAGGGTGAGAACACAGAGTGGCAAGGGCAACACATGCTACATATGAGTGGGAATCTCTTAGACAAATGTGCTGTGCACTCAGCCCTTGAGCTGGTAAGTCTATCATTGCTACACACAGAGAAGCTAAAGAGAACAATATTGGCTTGGGTGTTTCAAAAATGGTCTAGAAGATGGAAAGCTATAGCTAGTGCAGTGTTTTGACTCTGGACTTCTCTTGTAAGGTCAGATGTGAGGGTATGCTTTTTGCATAAAGAAGAAAAAAAGTAAGAAGTAACTTCTTTCTTCTCTGAGTTTTATTTAGACAGTTTTGACAGTTCTCGTGTGTATTTTCTTGTATTTTAAAAATAGTATGGTATTCATTTACAGGTCTCACATTCCAACTCAAAACACTGGCGTCTTGAGATTTTTCTCAACCTTTGAAATTCCCAATTATTTTACTGTCAGAATTTTCTTCTGTTTGATAAATTTCTGAAAGAAATTCTGTCTAGACATGTACCCAGAATTGGAAAAGAGACACAGGCATCTAGATAAGTGGAGAGAGAAACCATTTGAACAGGTTTTGTTTTTTGTTTTGTTTTGTTTTTTGTCAATAGCACTTTAGGCATCACAAGTGTTAATTATTCACAACTGTGCTGGTCTCTACTCTGATTTTACACACATATTAATGGCCTCACAAAACCCAATAATGTCCTTCCTGTTAATTATTCACACACTGTGCTAGTCTTTATTCTGGCTGGGAATGGCCTCACAAACATTTGATAAAATCCTTAATTTTTCACAAGTTGTTTTTCTTCCTCCCAAAATTAGATCATGGTATTTTTGTGATGAGGAAACACATACAGATTCAAACTGACAGCAATTCATGGGTCCCTAATATTCAAGGATGCCCTGGGATACATCACTCACTTCACAAAATGATTATTAATGGCCTGACCACAAAACAGCTTAAGGACCATTTCATTTCAAATTAGCCAGATTACGAAGACATAGTAAGGTCTAATATTCCTTCCAGCAGAAAGAAAGACAGACACACAGAGAGACAGAGATAGAGAACTGCAAAAAGAAAACATAGTGACAGCGAGCAAGGGAGAAATTTGGCAAAGAATTAGTGAGATTATTTCATCATTTCAGATCAACCAAAATACTTCACATTTTTCAGCTTTGTACTAATCTGAAGTCCTTTCTCTAAGGGACTAATGATGTAGCTACAGAATTGTATTGGCAACAAGGCAGGTGGAGACCAAAGCAATTGGCAATGGGGAAGCCTGGGGCTAAGAATCTCTCCTCCACCCCCCCACCCCCCCTGGAAACACTGATTACCAAAGGCAAGAGGCTCATATGTGGAGACCACCTCTTATGATGCAAATAGCTCAAGCTTCAATTGAAGATAGCACCCTAGTGAAGCCACTACCATCCACAACTTAAATCTTAGGCTTTTTCATCCGAGCCAGAGATTGTTTTGTGGGCAAGAAGGCTCCAAATTAAACTTATTTGATTAGCCAGTAGTCAATTAAATCAATAAAGTGTGTGCACTTTTGATGCAAAGCTAAGGTTTCTTTTTGGGGGCTGGTGTGTATTTAGATAATTGTCTCTGTTCACCAGTGTATTTAGGGATGCAGACTTCACTGGAATTAAATGATAGCATGTGCAAACATTAGCTAACAATTTTGTATCAGTAAGGGATCAGCATGAATGAAATAATTTCTGTCATATATTTTTAAAAGTCTTTGAAATAACTTGATGAAGTAAGTGCTATTCTGTCCTCAGATGTAGATGCTGAGACTTGACCACAGTCAACCTGCCCAAAAGAATACAGCTGGCAAATAACACTACTAAGATGCAACCCAGCACTGCCTAGCCTCAGAGTGAGCTCCTGTCCCCATGATACTATGCCCTCATTAGGGACAGCTTTGTATCAGGCCCCAGATGGTCCTGGACACTCAAAAGCTCACAACAGAATGCCAATCTTCTGACACTAAAAAACCACACCATGCAAAGCCCTTGAGTCCCTTGAAATGCAAGGTCAGTGCCTGGTGCAGAGCAATGTTTAGAAATGTATCTGTCCAACTGAATCCGCACATGCAGACTCTCTGTTCTAGTAAGTTATCATCTCTTTCTGCTATGAAATTAAGTATGAATCCATAAAATTTAGTCATAAGGATAATGTTATTTGAGCAAGAGCAAGACGGCATTATGAATAATAGATTTCAATCTATTAAGCGCAGAGCTACAGCAACCGTTTAACAGGATAATGTGAGGATTATTATAGAATCTAAAGAGATTACTGTAAGTGGCGCATGATCCCTTCTCTATCAATCAAAGTAAAACAACGCAGAGGAATGGGCCTTCATGTTTATTTGTTGCTGCATGAGAGCTGTTGGCTACATTAGTTAAGACATGCAGACTCTGTTCTAAACAGCTCTATGATTCCCAGCAAAAGCTAATCCATTTGACCTTAAATGCCCTCCTGGCTAGAAATGGGTGAGGTCAGATCAGGTGGTGTCTTCAATCTGATGAGTTCAAAGACACATCTATTAAAGGGCCAAAATGGGCACTCTCCCACGAAACCAGACATTCTCCCTTTACCTTCTTTCTTTAATTTTACACATATGAGTATTATGTTGGTGTACCATATCAGAACAATGCACACAGGATCTAGAAAATGGAGTTGGGCCCTCTGGAACTGGAATTACAGATAGTAGTAAGCTACCCTGTAGATTCTGGGAGTCAAACTCAGGTCCTCTGAAAGAGCAGCCAGTGCTTTTAACCTCTGGGCTCTCTTTCCTGTCATTTGTTTCCCATATGTATATATCCAAAATATTTTTCATGACAAAGACCAGTAGGGAGAGAAACTAGTAGCTTAATAATAATAATAATAATAATAATAATAATAATAATAATAATAATCCATGCCACATTATGTACAAGGCCAAAGGAAGGGTGCATTGACACTAGCAGAAAAGTAAAAGTGCACTGGAGTGATGGTTAGTATGTAAAACACCATTACCAGTACAATGCATGAGTCTGATTACTGCACCCATATAAAAAGCTAAGTGTGGTGATTCATGCTTGTAATCCCAATGCTGGGGAACTGGAGAGTGGAGGATAGCTGGGGTTCACTAACCAGCCAGTCTAGCCTACTTGGAAAGTTTAGGACAACCGAGAGTCTCTGCTACCAATAATGGCAGGTGGCAACTTAGGAACAATGTCTAATGTTGCCCGCTGGCCTCTACGTGCACACATATCCATGAGCATGTATACCTGAACACACATGCACACACACACACCTTCACACATACACATACACATACACACACATATATACACATTTACATGTACACACACATATGCACATGTTCAAACAGGTACACACATATACACAAATACACACATGTTCTCACACATGCTCAACAAACCTTCCATCTTTCCAGGACGACAGACTAGTCAAGATTCAGAGCATGGCAGTAACCATGGAGTCAGTCAAAGAAACTTAACCACTTTCTGGAATTTTCTTATCATACTCACAGCTGTGATGAAATTCCTTAGAATTCAATTATTTGCTTTGGCTTAGACAAGACAAAAGGTAAAATACAACTACAAAGACTTTCCACAGTTACAATGAGAAAAAGCTCATGTTTGCATACAGTACCGCTAATATCACAGTGAGCAAGCCAGTTCCAGTACTGGGCTCCGTGTTTGCCTCTCTAGTAATCAGCTGTTGTCTTAACTGATGTGTCCCCTCTGAATCTGGATTTCTTTGTCTGTAAGAAAAGAAAACCAGCTTAAAAATTGTTGCCTCCTGTGATAGGGAAATGTGTTTTGCTGTTTGCAACTGTTTCCTGTCTTCTGCAACAGATAGCTCCTGAGGAGTAGACAATCTGCCGTTTGCTGAGTGCTCCTAAGGATGGTCACCCTATTGGTACAGCTAAGCCAGCAGCATTAAATTGCCTCATATATTTAAAGGAGGGAGATGGGGAAAACCCTAGAGAGAGTATTCTGGGAATGAAGTAGTAGCTCATGAAGCTAAGTGCTAATAGTAAAAGGAGGGGTAAGAGGGGAGAGAAGACCCAAGGGCCACAGCTAAGAAAATGGAGCTTAGGGGATTCCATGTTCCATTAATCCTTTCCTTAGCTGCTGATTCTAAACTCTCAATAAACCACATGCTCTTTGATGATGCTTGAGTACAAGGGGACTTTTATTCTGAAGATAACTGTGATAAATCTAGCCTCAGAGACTTCATGGAGAGGAAAGGCATGGCAGGGAGAAGTGCTGCGATCAACCAGTCTAAACTTGTGGGATCGATGGGACAGAATCAGCCTGAAGGAGGCCCCTGGCTGGGCTCTGGCCATCTTAAACCAGAGGCGACTGCATGCAGGGTCCATTCTGTATGTGACACTTTGAACATCTCTAACTCAGACACATTTGAAGATCAAACAGAAAATCTGGAACCGAGGTGGTAAACAGGGCTCTGGGAAGGGCAGGCTCTGTAGAATGGCTTTAAACTATTTGTGTGTGTGTGTGTGTGTGTGTGTGTGTGTGTGTGTGTGTGTGTGTGTGTGTGTGTGTGTGTGTGTTTCACTCAGAAAGAAAACAAATTGAAAAAGCAAGCAAAACACATTCAAGGGCTAGAATCTTTGAAAGAGACATTAACGAATCGAAGGACATTCAAGGGAGATTGGGTAAGACATGAAGTACCTTACGGCCCTGCAGGAGGTAGGTCAATTGGGATCTGATAGCTTGGAGGAAGGACAAAATACACTTTTGTATTTTGTGGTGTGGTGGTTGGGTTAAGGGTATTTAGAGATTGTATCATGAGAAAGGTACTAGGGTGTTGTCTCTTAAGGGCAGGAAGAAGAAATGAGTATGAATTTGTAAAGTGCCCAGCACAGAGTAAAGCATCACAGAACTTAGCTGAACTTAAATACAACTAAATGGGCTTTGTGTTCAGAGATGTCTGGAGATTAAACAAGTTGATACAGTGCTGATGATGGGAAGAGGACAGCCGGACAAGCGTGACATAGGTAGGTAACAGTATTATAATGGACAAAGAACTCATCCAGCCTCATAGTATATCAAATCCAGACCCAGAAGGTTCCTTGAGCTAGCTGCAAAACTTGGGTTCAGTTCCATGCACATCAAATACTTGAAGGTAAAGCCACCTTCCCTGTACCGAATGGTCTTGCATATCAATTCCCTTCTAAAAATACTCAGCCTAGCCTTAAGAGAATAATTAAGCAATATTGTGGGTTAAGTCCTAATGAAAATAAAATATGGAAAAGTACAACTTGACCTAAAAAAAAGGTGATGCCCTGGAAAGTGTCATGGAGTCCTGGAATAACATGGGCAGAATAATGAAAAAAACCATCAGAACTCAGAATTTACAGAATGGGGTCATTGCACAGTGTGTGAGGACACTTGATGCACAAACATGAAGACCTGAGTTCAAATCCCCCAAATCCGTGTGAAAAACTGTGCATAGCAAACTGTGCATATGTACCTGCAACCCCAGCACTGTGGGGAGTGGGGACAGGAGGACACAGCCGAGCTCCAGGCTCAGTGAGAGTTTCTGTTGCAAGGGATTGGGGCAATGAGTGGTGGAACTGTTAAACCAGATGTCCTCCTCTGACAACAAGCACTCACAGCACTCATGTTTGTGCACACACACAAATACACACTCACACACACACACACACACACACTCATGAGCACTCATACACATTTTAATTTTTTAAAAACTTGAACTCTTTACAATGAGGTGATATATATGCAACTTCAAGATTTATGTAGCTCTTGCTATCACATCACCACCTCTCCTTAGACCAAGCAGAGGTGGATATTTTCATTTCAAATCATTCAAACTGGTATCTATGTATGAAACTCTAAATACCACAGAAATGAAGAATCACAGCAGAAGGCAAAGGAGTTCTAAAGCATGAAGGGTCTGACCTTGGTGGTGGCATCAGCCACAAAAGAACACTGTCCAACATAAAACAGAAAGTGCTGTACTGTAGTTCTGAGTATCTCAGTGCTGGGAACAACACGTATATAGCTCACCTAGTAAAACAGGGCTGAGGAAGAGCCATTCGCCACTGTGCCATTGCTCTGAGTAGGGCAGTTGGAACAGAGAAAAGGTGGGAATGAAGACTACCTAGGTAGATGGTTTGGTGCATCCAGGCGTTAGATAATTTACATGAGTCACCTCAGCTAATCCTCATCTTAACTAACTTGAGAAAAAAAAAAAGAAAACAATGCATCCTCATTTTTCACACTAGAAAATTAGGGTTATGCTTAACACACTCGCTTGGTTGCCCTATGTGGAAGGACTATGTAAATTGATAACTATTTGAGAAGTCATCCAGAAGAATCTATCAGAATGTTTAAAGACCAGAGTGATTGCCTTGGTAATTCACTTTCCAGTCAGTGACTCCTCAGAAATCCTTTCTCTAGCATGCAGGAAGCTCATGTTTATTTGCTCTACAGCAGCATTATGGCAAATGTTAAGAGCCAATCTAAGCACTTTTCACAAAATAACTTAAAATGACCCGAATCCCAAATTAGTCTGAAAGAAATAAAAATGGTGAGAAGTGTGAAATTAAATTTAGCCAAGTGCCTGGGAAATATTTTTTCCTTTTCTTAAATTTCTCTTAGTGTCTGTTTTGTGTAAAAATGGATGGATTCACAAGTTTTTACTCGTTTGTCATGTTATACTTTTTGAATGTGAACAAGTAAGATACAAAATAGTAAGAATAGCTTTTAATTAACAATATTCATGTTAAAACTACAAAATATTAATCTCTATGAAAAACACTGCATGGCAGATACTTAGTACCATTTACTTGCAGAAGTAGGAGGTAAGGGCTGGGGTGGAAGAAACATCTTTCACTTCTGCTCTTCTATTTTCACTGAAGGATTTCAAATAAATATGTACTATTTCATTAAAAAACAAAGACAGAAAAGCTCAATGAATCCTAAGTTGTACAAACTGCCACTCGCTATTCCAGTTCACTCTAGTTTCTGCTGAGTTTAGAGTTTGGGACTGTCCTCTCAATGAGCTCACTGTGACAAGAGGGGGAAATAAGGCACATCGGAATCAGTCCAAAAGAAAAGAGAGCTTTCCGAGGAAAATCAATAGCAGCATGGCTGGAGGCCACCACAGCAGCACACACACTTGTGCCCAAGAGTAAATATGCGTCTGCAAGCACAAAGACAGTGTGTTCTCTTGAGAAACCACAGCTCTTCTAAGTATCCTGTTCAGTGACCCAGGCAGACAGTCAAGTTCTCACAGCTGTCATTGACAACACCACTTCCAAGTCCTCCAACATTGTGCCAGTGTTCCTGAAGCCAGACCATTAGTGTCCCCTTGGCTTGTCACAGGCACTTTACAGTGAGAGTCAGGGCTCTCATAAATCATAGCCCCACACCCAACAAGCAGAAGAGTTGGGGCATTGGAGATACTACGATATTTAGTAACATTTCATTATAATTATTAATGAGGTTCAGAATCCTGAAACAAAGTAATCAGGACAGAGTAGAATATGATTATAAGAAACTCAAAAATATGTCCTGAGTCCTGAGACTACTGAAAATGGAAAAAATTAAGCTCAGTGATAAAGAATTATCTCTTTGAAGCAGAGCAGATTCCTGCTGGTAGAGGGGAGGTAAGAATAAATTGAACCATCCAAAGACACAATCTCCTAAAGTCTTACATACATTTTCCAAGCATATGGAAATAATAATGTGTGAAGTCTCTCAAATAAAAGCACCCAAGGCAAATTTATCAGTGTCCTTTTCAAGGTTATAAAGCAATGTTTGGTTTGTCTATCTCCTAAAAGGCAAGATAAAATAACCTTTCAAACACACAACGAAGAGAATTAATTCTCAGTTAGATGCATTTATTGGTCTAAATCTGAAACTTATCTATATCTGCAGGTATCAGTGCTTGATGAGGCTAAACAGGCAGTGTCTGGCTTCACCAAAAAAGGCACACATGCTTGCGCGTGCACACACACACACACACACACACATGTACACATGCACATCTGTGCACCACCTATGGACAATTTTATTTTCATGTTATGTATATGGATGTTTTGCCTGCCTCACACCTGAGGCCAGAAGAGGGTGTTGGATCCCTTGGAACCGAGTTACAGACTGTTGTGGGATAACATGTGGGTGCTGGTAACTGAACCCAGGTCCTCTGGAGATGCAGACTGTATTCTGAATCATCTCTCTACCTACTTAGTGATTTTAGCTCAAAGAGAACTTGTTTGGGCTGCTACAAGCAAGTCACTGAGCAATATACTCTGAAACCAAACCAAAGCAAGTCAGACTATCGATTCATAAACCACATATGTCTCATCTTCTTCCAAAAAATGCCTTTTTTTCAGTTTTGAACCCAAAGTCAGAGAGGTGTTGGTTGCATTTATGTGTGTGCTTGGCCTTGAACCTAGAGCTTCACTTTGCCACTGAATTACAGTGCAGTCACTTTGGGCTATTGCTTTTAAGCAAGTAAGCATCAAGATCCATCCTTGTTTTTCCATTTAGGCAAACGTCTAAAACTCCATGTGAATTTTACTCAGATGGGGATATTTGAACCAAACACCATTAAGAATATGTTTACAATGCAAACTTTGCAAAATGTGTAGTCACATTCCACAGATTAGCCAGCTAATGGCTCCAGGGGAACCATTACAGCAGAATACAGTGGTGTGGCACAAATGAGATGCTCTCATTTAGAGACAAACTCCCTCTCTGTTACAGGTTCAGGTACTGAGGGTGCATAATAATGAGTGATCACATGAACTAATAAGACAGCATTCACCCTTCCAACACTTTTGGGAAGTGATTAAACTAGTTCCCAACCTGTACATTGAAACTCCATCAGAGACATCCTCGAGATAGCACAAACCTCAGTTTTTTTCATTTTCATTTTTTTTCTCTCAGTATTTGAACAGAAACAGAAAGTCAACATAAGCAGAGTTCCTGAGTTTGTCCGTGGGTGAAGGCACATCTGCATATGGATGTCCATGTCTAAGCAGCTCACATAAGATGGTGTGCTAATAGTTATTGCAGTGTGTGACTAAAATACTTGCTGTGGGTGTGTTCAGTTGGTAGAGTACCTGCCCAGCATGGATGAAGTTCTGGGTTCTGTCCCCAGCCATGTATAAAGCAGATGTGTTGGCACACTTCTGTAATGGCAGCACTCAGGGTACAGGCAAGAGGAATAGAACTGATAAGATGTCAGAGTGGCTTACAGGCTGTGGTCCCGCAGCTCCAACAATGGCTGTCACCTGATAGAAAGGCCAAGAATCCCGGAGTTGTCAGTTCACGAGACTGAATGTCTCAGCTGCTCTTCAGTATATACACCGTAGCCCCAAAGAGTCAGGTTCTAATGCCAGTGAATGAATGGAATCTTGTTGGGGAGAGTGATGGCAGGCAGGAAGAGGGCAAGTGTTCTTCCCTGTACTTTCTGTAGACTGCCAAAGGAAGGTGTGGCCTAGATCTAGGGTGGATCTCTGACCTCAACAATCCAGAGTCAAGTTGTGTCTTCTGGCTTCAGGTGGTCTAGACTTAAGTTCTAAAAATCCTTCACAGGTGTACCCAGCTGCTTGGGGTTTTAGTTAATCACAGTTGAAGTCAAGTTGACAACGAAGAACAGCCATCACAGCCACATAGTAAGTTTGAGACCAGCCTGGAATACAGGAGACTCTGTCTCAAATTCATTCATTTATCCACCCATTCAGGAGCTGAGGGATGCTCAGTGGTTAAGAGCACTGCTGCTCTTCCAGAGGACCAGAGTTTGATTCCCAGCACCCACATGACAACTCTTGTTTCAGGGGATCTGACGCCCCTTCTGGCCTCCATGGGAGCTGCACAGACATGCACTCAGGCAAAACACTCATATGCAACAACACGTTGAGAGGGTATTTATTTTAGCTGGGTTCTAGAAGCTTCAATCCTTCATGGCAGGGAAGGCAGGGTGTAGGTCATGGGTAGAAAACATGAAGCAAAAGCTGTTCTCATCACGACAGACCAGGAAGTCAGGAAACAGCCAGGCTAGGGCCAGAGCTAACCCTCTAAGCTCTTCCTCTAGTTATCTATTTCCTTCTGCCAGTCCCACCTCTTAAAATCTCTTCAAACTAGAACCTCAAGCTGGGGGCCAAGTGCCGGAAACAGGAGTTAGTGGAGGCATTTCAGACCATAACGCCTGGTATTAGTTATGAGCCAATACTAACCTGCTTGAAATTTTCTTGAGACTCAGAAACAAAGAAGATGTCCTGAGTAGCCAACAGGAAAGTCTAACAGGAGGCTTTATCAGAGCAGTATAACATTCCAGCAGAGATCACTGTGATTGCATCTTTGTCAACCACACTGCCTCCTTTGGGCTCTGGGGTTACTCACCAGGAGCATTCACTCAGTTTTACCAGAGACATAGAGGCTATATTTTCCGAAGCCAATTCCACTTCGAAAGGCAGAACCGTTCTAATAATAAGATGGACAAGAGAAAATGCAAAAGACAAGGGTGAGACCAAGGAGGAGCACAAGGAGAATACAGCAGACTGGTTGCAGCCAAGGGGTGGGGGTGGAAGTTGGGGATGGAGGGGAGCTGTGTTAATGTTACAGCAAAGTACACAGTTAATGTTCTTGATGAGGACACCATTTTAAGACTGGTAGCTGTGGAATGATGGACTCAAGCCCAAATCCCAACTCTAGCTCAATGTGTGTGTTTGTGATCCTGGCTAAATTACAGAGCTCTGCAAGGCCTCCATTTGCTGCTCTCTTAAATGAGAACTGTATGAATGAAATGCTCATTGTCAATGGCTGAAACAAGGTCCATCTTATGGGACCTACCATGTAACATTATTATTATCATTATCATTATTACCATTATTATTATTGTTATTATTATTATTACCACACTTTGCTCAAAACAATGTGGAAATACATATACATTTAAGCAATCTCTTTCAAACACTGTAAAGTCAAACAAGTATGTCACTTAAAGAGATTTTCTATTTTCTAAAAAAACTCAGCATCACTTCCACATGATGCTTCTGTGAATAGGGAATTATATGTATTCTAGCACAAATCAGGGAGAAGATCAGCAATCAGAAGCAGAAAGAAAAAATAATATTCTTTTCTCCATTTCATCTGGGCCATGCCTCAGACTTCCCAAGCTGTGAAATGTCACTGTTACAGGAGCTACTCTTAGAAATGTGACCCAGCCCAAGCAGATGAGGTGCCGGAACCCTGACTACCCACAGTGAGGGAATGAAGAAGGGACAGACACGTAGATGTATAGACACATAGATGTACATACAGTGAAGCTGGGATCAGATGGGCTCCTCAAATACTCCAGCTGCAACTCAGAACTTCAATATATCTACTGGGCACAGCACAGAGAGCAGATTAGCTGCTCTCCATAGCAGGTCTCTGTAGGGAGCAGTCTCAGGCTGTAAACATTCTGGAGGAGGAAGCCATGGTTGCTAGACTGAGCAATCATCCCTAAACACTCATGTTGGCCTCCCCAGAAAACCTTTGCAATTTCTCTTCTAGCCCATACAGATAATAGCTTTGCCAATTTGTCCCACGGGTCCCAGGCCTTGGAGGCCCTGGCTGGCTCTTTCCATGTCAGAGTATACATTCACTAAGGACTCCAGTCCCTCAGGACTTTCTCTAATCCCCACAGAAATGTACTTTTGATTTTACACTCTCCTGCTTATCTGTTTGACCTCCCATACAAAATATCAGTCTCCAAAATATACATTACTAATTAGCAGTTGTCTAAGTTTCCTTCTTGTAGATGTGGAGAAATGACTTGACAAAAGTGTCTGAAGGGAGACAGGCTTTGTTCTAACTCACAGTTCAAGGGGACAGCCTATCATAGAAGGGGTCTCAAGGTGGCAGGAACTCTCAACTGGCTGTTGAGTCACCTGGCTTCCACACCAGGAAGTAGGAGTAATGGATATTCGTGTTCAGCTCACTGTCCTGGTTTATGCAGTCCATGACCCCAGCCCAATGTATAATGCCATCCACATTTGGGTTGTGTCTTCCCAGCTAGAAGAACCTGATCAGCATAATCCCTCACACTAAAGAATGCTTTACATGTGTGCCCAGAGCTTTATCTTCTAGGTAATTCTAGATACTGTCAAGTTGATAATTAATGCTAAGCACTACTCCAGCGATACTATGACCACCCACCCTACCACAGAAAGAAGTGTCTCTGACAGAGTACAAGCCCTTCTGAGGGGCTCCAGGTTATTGCTCAGGGAACTTCAGTCCATTTAATTGTCACAGCCTTTAATAGCCAATCTAGGAATGGTAAAATGAATAGAAGAGATTACTGTAATGTCCATGGTTTTAGGGGATAACTATGGAACTAATAATGCACACTTAGCATAACTGGAATATACACACAGGTGAGATATGAAGGGTTATTTCTGGTTGTTTTGCCTTTGTTTTAAGTAGTATTGAGCCTGAACCAAAGCTTCTTACATGCTAGGCAAGTGCTCTACCAATTAGATTGTTTTTCTGAGCTAGGTTTTCACTCTGTATCCCATTCTGGCCATGGACTTACAATGCCCCTGTCTACACTCCCTGAGTATTAGGATTACAAGCACATACCATCATGCAAGGCTCAGAGAACTTTTAAATTAGATAGAAGAAGGAAAGGAGAAAAAATAGAAAAGAAGAGAGGAATGGGGGAAAGGGGGAAAAAGAACCCTGGTTCAAAATAATTTCTGGAAATAAATGACAGAAATATAACTCAAATGTATCTAAGTAAATGGGAAATATATTGCCTGATATAAATAGTGTCAAGAGTTACCTAGTCTTGGCATATGGCTAAGCCTAACTAGTCAATATTTTTGTCTTTTCACTTTGTGGTTCTTTTGCTTTGGGGACACATACATTTTCCTGAAGATTGTCTTCCTATGGTAGGATGCTATGTTCTGGGTAGCCATCAGAAGCTTCAGATTTGTGTTGACTGTGTCATCATAAAGACAGAGAAATGATCTCTTCAAACATCCAAATGTTCTCACTCACAGGGGTTTCAAGTGACCCTACTGAAATTTGAT